GACTTTTGAGATGATGTACAAGTGATCGACAAGGACCGTTTGCTAGCTTATTGTTTTGGTTTTTTTTTTAAGAAGAAGAAGAAGAAGTAGATGAAATGAGAGGAGGAGATGGACCGATGACGAACAGGCCGGACGTTATATTAGTTCAGTTGACTCTGATCGATCCATGGATATAGTAGCTAGCTCCTCAGGCCTAGGCGCAGGCAGTCAATTTAATTACTTTACTAATTACTACTACTACTACTACTACTACTACTTAGGATTGGAGTAACTAAAAATTAATACCGATGGAGGTGCATGAACGATCGATCGATGCAGTCATGCATGCAGATGATGGATCGATCGATCGAGCAAAAGACTGACTAGCTAGCTAATTACTCCAATTGATGGATGGATGCATCGGAGTACCTGAGAATTGGTGGTCGTGGGCGCAGTGGAGGAGGGAGAGGTCGTGGATGCGGAATCCGTAGCGCGCCAGCGAGTCGCCGCTGGAGCAGAAAGGCCGGAGCGCCGTCAGGAAGGCGCGGGCGGCGCGGCGAGTGGTCGGCTCGTGGAGGCGCCCCAGCACCGCCTTGAGCTCGCCGTAGGCCGCGTCTCCCGACGGCGCGCACCGCTCCAGGAACGCCGCCACCGCCGCTGCATCCTCCACGCCGGCGCTGCCCATACCTATATAGCTTCTTGATTGCTTTCTTTTGTTTTGTTAGTGTCGACGGTGAGCTCAAGCCCGGCCTCAGCTGCATCCTGCATGCATATATAGTATAGCTGCCCTGCAGTGCGCGCGTAATTGTGGAGCCCACTACCTACTTCACCATACAACACATGTCTCTATATATACATCGATACCACCATCTAATCGATTTTCATGTTTTGCTATCTATATATCTCTCCGATCCACTCCCTGCATGTATGTCCATACTAATTTGTACACTCACACCTATAAACTAATTAATATACAAACACAACCTCTATCGGCCGGGTAGGAGGAGCATCTTTGTAGATTGGGTTTTGTTATATTTTTTTGACATATGTCGATCAATGGAGAAACTATTCTAAACTCTAAAGGGGATATCCTCTCGTTATTTGCATGTTAATCGAATAGTTATTAATTTTTTTAAAAAATTAAAAGATGTATTAATATGTAATATGTCACTCCACAAACATACAGCATACAAGTTCAAATTCAACTTCTACATATCACAATAAAAAAAGAAAATAAATTAGAACTAATTAACGTATATTTATAGTCAATTTTTTTTCGTTTGTGACATGTACAAGTTAAATTTTAACTTTTTTTAGCGAACACAAGTTAAAATTTTAACTTGTATATGTTGTGGAGTGATATATCATATATTAATATATCTTCTTAATTTTTTTATAACTATTTCAGTAACATGTAAACAATGAGGGGGCGTTCCCTCAAGAGTTTAAAATCCACTCTCCGATCAATGTGTGATGATGGACAAACAAGCCACTTACTCAAAATGGCGGAGTCAGTATTTAGACCTAAAGATATGGAGGGATCTAATACACTACTACCTACATCCCAAAATATAAAGCTCAACCACTTCTAACATGAAGACCAACAAAGAATTTAATTACCTCCTTAATTAGATCACATGCGTACATACAAGTAATATGATTGGGGTTTAATGGTAGAGGATTTAAAATAAATCAAATTTAAAGAATAAAGAGATAATAGCTACTCCCTCCGGTTTCATTTTAATTGACACTTTAGACAATGACACGCTCTACAAGATATACATTTGACCTTATTTTTCTATTATAATATATATAATAAATAAATGCATATTTATTTTTATTATAGTGTTTTGAAAGAAAAATCTATATATGTTTTTCTAGTTTCTTTAAACTAAATATTTTTAAAGTTATTGATGGTCAAAGTTATAAAAGTTTAATCTCAACTTTATCCAAAACGTCAATTAATATATAACCAGAAGGAGTATATACTTTATATTATGACATGAGAAAAAATGATACTAATATCTGAGATAGAGAGACTAATATTTGAGGTTGCCTGGCCTCGGCTCGTCCCCTGTTTCCGCGCTCTGGCCACTCATCTCATGGATATGATGATGTTTGGTCCCGAATCCCGATCGATGCAAATTATATATATGCACTGTGTTTTCCTTTGTTTATTGGGTCGCTAACGTGTTTGTATCGTCCCTGTGAAAGAGACAGAGAGATCGATCGATCAGTAGGCGGCGTGTGTAAAATATGCGTGATTGATCGACCATATAAATATATGGATACGCGTACGTATATGGTGGATGAACAGACAATAGCCCGAGAGTGAGAGGTGCATGTTGACGATCCATCATGATAATATAGTACTCCTCTCCGTTTCGACATACAAATAATTTTAGCTATAAATCTAATAAATAATTATGTGATTAATTAATTCATAATCAAAAGTTACTATATTTAAAATATGATGTATTAATATTTATATATATAATTAATATGCCTTGCATGTCTAAAAATGATCGATGCATATATGATGTATCCACTAAACCAAATCACCGATTGTCACTCGCCTACCACTAATTAATGATGTAGCCAATCTTTAAAGGAGCTAGAGTCTGAGCATATACGTTAATAGGAATTAGTGTGCGCTCCTTCGTACGAACGATTTTATATTTGTGTTGACGGTATATAATCCACCCGGTCATCATCATCTCGATTCTCGATGGATTGATCGATGAATAGGTTTTTTTATAAGGGAGAATCCCGATCGATGGATCAGTTGCAAGTTATTTTCACCTATCATCGATCATATATCAACCCATCATCATATAGTATGTGCCAATCAAGAAACCAGCTAGCGATCGGATAGCTGCTTCCAACTTGTTATTAATGCATATACATGCATGTTCTACCCATGTGTTAATTAGATGTTGCAATCATAAATTTACGCGAGAGGCCTACCATGCCAGAATATATCCACACGCGTGTGTATATCCAATTCCATCCGGTTTATTAATCCTTCCGTTGCACAGTACCGCTCCATCTCACAACAGGATCATTTTTAGCCCCTCCTGTTTATTCTAGAATAAGTTCGTTGTTGAACAGTAATTGTATCGGAGTTTATAAAAATAGAAGATAAATATATCGAGAGTAGATAAAGAAAATGAATAATCACATTAGGATTTTTGGGATGGTGTTAGAATAGTTAAGCAAAAGTTTTTTTTTGAGGGTGGGGGGGGGTGAAGTTGGTCTGATTGCAAGTCTTTGTTGGGAGCTTTAGTTGAAGATAAATTACCTAAATCTGTTTTGCAGGTCGTGTACGATGCAACGCTGGAAGGAGATTGTGCTCCGCTGAACAACGTTGTTAAAAAGCTAAGCTAATGGAATAGATGGCACAACTTGGGCCTAGAGATGTTTTGCCAGATGACTTGGGGATTGGATAGTGCTGTTGTTGACTGGTGTACTGGGAGGAGAGGTTTTTTGCTGTTTACTCTTTGGTTCTCCTTGCGTGGAGATGGGCAGCGTTACTGATGTGTTTTCGTTTTCCTTTTCAGTTTGTTTTCATGCAAGACTCTGTTATGTTTCAGGCTTTCTTAAAAAGCCGGGTAGTGAAAATTTACATGCAGTCTTAAAAAATTAGTAAAAAGAATGAACTTATTTTTGTGAGGGAGGGATTACTATAAGTTTATCCTAGGTCAATTAATTTTAAAGTTTGATAAGTTTATAAGGAAACGTAGCAATATTTAGAGTATCAAATTAGTTTAATTAAATATACATTAAACTCGGTTATAAAAATATCAATTTAGGACAAACTCAAAATAGTTTATAATACGGAATGAATGAAAGAAAGCCCGGTAGATTAAGCAGCCAGCAGGCTGAAAAGAAAGGCCATGATCTCCTTGCACGAATGTCTATGTATACGAATAAGTCTATTATATCTCCCTCAACATTTTGATTCCGATTGAATCACATCTCTCAACCATAAATGTCTCTCATGTCAAATTAACTATCTCGGCGGTTTGGGTAACGGTTTCTGATAGCTTGGTTTGTTGACCCCTGCTCCAAAATGTTGCAATCTAACGAATCTGGATGGAAGTAGGATAGATCAAATGGCATCTTGATTGTAATATTTTAAGGCAGAGAAAATATTATATAAAGGAGTGCAATATTTTCTCCCACACCTTATAGAAGGCAGTGAATTAGTGAAATCCATACATCAATCGTATGTAACATCTGAGTCGTGAGTCGTGACTTGGTGTGGAAGAAGAGAATAGCTAAAAGACATAGATTTACGTACATAGCATTTTATTCTGACATCACAATTTTGGAGCGACGTATCTCTAAGGCAAGTATTGTATTCGTTCCAAAATAAACAGATCTAATATAAGATTATCATAATAACTAAATAGAAACACTACGAATTATGATATGTCAAAATCTTATGCTAAGGGGGTGTTTAGATCCAGTAGCGTAAAGTTTTGGCGTGTTATATCGGATATACGGACACACATTTAAAGTATTAAATGTAGTCTAATAATAAAACAAATTACGGAATACATTTGTAAACTGCGAGACGAATTTATTAAGCCTAATCAATTCATCATTAGCCAATGTTTACTGTAGCACCATATTGTCAAATCATGAAGTAATTAGGCTTAAAAGATTCGTCTCGCAAATTAGTCGCAATTTGTGCAATTAGTTATATTTTTAGCATTTATTTAATACTTCATACAGATGTTTAAACGTTCGATATGATAGGGTGAAAAATTTTGAGGTGGGATTTAGGTGGTGTTTAGATCCAGGGAGTAAACTTTAGTCCCTGTCATATCGGATGAATTTGGAGTATTAAATATAGATTACTTATAAAACTAATTACATAAATGAGAGTTAATTCATGTGACAAATTTTTTAAGCCTAATTAATCTATAATTAGCGTGTGTTTAATGTAGCATCACATAGCCTAATAATGGATTAATTAGGCTCAATAGATTCGTCTCGCGAATTAGTCCAGGGTTATAGAATGGGTTTTATTAATAGTCTACGTTTAATATTTATAATTAGTGACCAAACATCCGATGCAATAGAGATTAAAAGGTTTTAATCCCATCTAAACAGGGTCTTAAACAGGGCCTAAGTTTGTTTGTCTTAGAATCAAATTTCACATGAGGATACTTTTGAAGCTGTCATATTTATTTACAAGTGTCAGCTTCATATGATGATGCATGCTAAATTTATTATCACTGTATTTTATCAACTATAGTATACTAGTAATATGCTCGTACTAACGTTACGGTAGTATTTATTAATGCAAATCAAACAATCAAGAGAATTATATGTTTTGGCTATCAAGCATAAAATGAGATAGGTTTAGTTTTTTAGAAAAATAATGATATTATAACTGTTCCATCTTCTGAAACCATGTAATTCCTAATGTACAACTTTGATAATCAGTGAGTAGACATAAAAGTCCACACCATCCATCACCATCCAATGTTTGATTTATATCTCGTTTACAATAGAATTCATTATTTACAATAAGAAGTTTACCATTTTTCTTATAAATCATAAATAATTAGCAATTCCTATTCACCTCCCATCAAACACATTTTCCCTTTTATTTTGTCCTGTTCACATGACCTGGTCACCATTAGAAGGAGCAACACTACTATCTTTTTTGCAAATCGGCAAATCCATATTTCTCTCACCTACGAAGGCACTGGCCACCTTCGACCATCAACCCAATGGTTTTGTCGGTGCCCTTTCTCGCTGTGGCCAAAAGTCTGTCAACTTTATGGCGCTTACATCATGTTGTTTGATTGTGCTCTGAAGAAAAATCAAAAAGATCTCCAATTAGTCCAATGAGTAGAGCAAATACATAGAGCCCTTTGGGGAGGTTCTTCTACATTGCAGGAGAAAATATTATGTTTATCCTGCATAATACGATTGATTCCGCGGATGCTTCTCAATCATGTTTTTTAGGCTCAGCTGGACAAATAACTAAAATAAAACATTTCATAAGAATGATATCAGATGACCATAGCAATGTTATATTGCAAATTTATCTTAAAAATATCCAAAATTTCTATATAATCATCTTATAGTGCATGGCATTTCTCAAGGATCAATCTGCATGCAAACATCAAAATGGAGAATGTTCTGAGTAGATTCTCTATCTATTAACGATGCCTTACAGCATCTTGCAGTATGAGGCTTAATTTGCATTTCTCAAGAGTAGTGGCAATTAGCTCCGGTATTGTAGATTGCTACAAAATAGAAGTGGCTAACAATCAGAAGAAAGAAGAAACACGGTAAAGAAATAAATACCTTCGGGTAGTCACAGGACCATCATTGCATGCCCAACCCTGAATCAGGTCAATCTGGATATACATTTGAATTGAACTGTCAGAAGAGACTAACCAGTTATGATAATGCACTCAACAAATAATAATAAGCTAATTTTAGTTGGAACTGCAATCGTTTTCCTCAAAATTAGTGTGCACTCATCAGGAATTGGTACTTTGGTAGTGCAGACATATCATGGTATCAATATCAGAATTAGCCATAAGTTCGTATCAGTATTTTTCAGGAAAGTCAGGGAAAAGCAGACAATCAATAGGCACACTACTTACTCCGTTGAAAGAAATTTCAGCATTGTTATCACAATATGACATTCTAGTTATCCTGAGAAGCTATATTTATAATTTTTGCATTGCAAATTATTGAACTGTAATGCTATCTTTTCCACTCATAAGCAGTGAAAAGATATATATCCAATCAGCTTGGTTAAAATTCTCATCTCACCTATATATACAGAAGAAAATCCATCAGGTTTCTTTAAATAATTGTAAAATAAACAAAAAACAATCATATATTACTACGATATCAAGTTGCAAATTGCTAGAGCCCCTGCTAGAATTTAACTGTCTCAAGAAACCCAGGACACGGAGGTAGGGGATCGGCAGGATTGAATACCAAAGAGGTTCTGCAGCTGCTCCTTGGCGCTGAAGTTGCAGTGCTTGACGTCACACGTCAGGCTGGAGGTAATTCAACCAGTGCAGCCGACCTGGTCGATCATGATCCCCTCCTTCTCGGCCATCCAGGTGGTGAGGAACTGTGAATACGGTCAGGACGCCACAGTGCCACACCCGTCGGCGCGGGGTGACGGCAGCGAGACAGACGCCGATGCCCGGTTATAATCCTATCGGCAAGGATGACGGCGCGCGAGGCGAGAGAGGATGACGGCGTCGATTGGCCGAAGCGGAGGCGTCGGGAGTCGGCCGTAATGCGTACGGGAGGGCGGAGGATCGATCGCATGCGAGAGGAGATTAGGAGTTGCGCGATCAGCGCCCTACGAGCCGGGTGGGGTAGCGTTTTGCACGATGCTGATAGGGAACAGAGGGAGGTGCGCGATTTCTAATCGATCGGAGCCGTCGGATCAACTTCATCTGTTGGTTTTGGATCGTTGGATGTGTCACACGATGAATGAGTAAAACAACTTGTTGAACTATAGGGTAGATGTGATATGTAAGAATTGCCGTGAAGGCAAGCAAGGAGCACGAATCGCGAAGGGGAAGGAACGGTGGAGACAGGTGGTTGATTCGGCTGGGAAGTCATCTAGGAGTGAGTCTCCCACTAGACTAGAGTGAGCTGGCTTTATTGAGAGTTGAGTTGTTGTTGTTGAGGAGGAAGTGAAGAAGAGGCAGTAGAAAGAAGTAGCAGTAGCAGAAGAGAAGGGAGGAAGGGAATTGGATAGATGGCGGGGACGCGGCGTGCGGAGGAGGAGTACGACTACCTGTTCAAGGTGGTTCTCATCGGCGACTCCGGCGTCGGCAAGTCCAACCTCCTCTCCCGTTTCACCCGCAACGAGTTCTGCCTCGAGTCCAAGTCCACCATCGGCGTCGAGTTCGCCACCCGCACCCTCCATGTATGTCCATCTTTCATCTCCTTCCTTCCTGCTTACTGTACTTACCACTAGCTCTAGCTACCCTAGCTGCTTCGTAATTCCTTTCTCAATCAATTCAATTCCTCTTTCTCCTCGCGCGATCTACCATTTTCTGCAAGCAACCCCTCCTCTACCTTAGATCCGATCTTTCTCTTCAACCAGCAATTCTTTTTTATTTTGACAAATCCAGATCAGGGATCCAATCTGCAATCCCCTCTCTGTCGCATTCTGCTTTTTTCTCCTGCTAAAAAAAACGTGAGCTTTGCTACCTAGATCTACCACACATGCTTCTGCTCAACCATGATCTACTATCACCAATTTCATCAATTCCACATCTACCTCGCCACTCCACTACTTGCATCATTTTACTCCACTAATTTCGTTTAACACACAGAAAACAGTTTCTTTCTTCTTCTTCTTCTTCTTTTTTTTTAAAAAAAAAAACCAGAGGAGGAACTCAATACATACATACATAATAATATGGAGATAGGAGTAACAAGTTGCTGCAGCTCCTGCTTAAAAAATAACAACAGTGTGTGAGCGGAGCGCTCATCCACATACATGTGGGCGATGACGAGGTGCCAGCTGCGTGTGTGCCTTATGGGATCCAATGGCTTGATTGTGATATCCTGATAGGCCATAATCCCAACTGCGCCACCACCTTTACTACTCGTTCATCTCACTGTCACACTCAATTCTGTACCTGGCTTAGCAACTGCCTGACAGCTACTAGTACCTCTGTCCACAGTAATAGTTTAATTTCCTTTTAACAAAAGTAATACTTTCCACAGTAATATTAATAACCTCTTAAAGTTTCTTTCTTTCTTTCTTGTTGTACCTGCTAGGCTTGACAGTGTCTAGCTGCGAGGCTTAAGCTGCTAAATGCTAATGACAATCAGCACACACTTGTTATATACCGACCAAGAAATTGAAAATGGACCAACACAGAGAATTGTGACACCATGCTCTATGATACTTTGAAGATATAATAGTCTGCAGTTCTAGTCAGATTGTACTAAATTGTACACTTTGGGATAGCACCCTCTAATGAACTTACCATGATAAAGTAATAAACTTCCAGTGCCATATGCGTCATGCTTATTTGGAGTTTGGCCTTCAACTCATCAGCCAGTTCAGATTCTTTCCAAGTTCCAAATTATGGCCTCTCCTCCCAATTTTATCTTTTTTGGATAGTTACTGAACACTAGTTCTCTCTATTGAATGTAAACAAATGCATTAGCGTTGGAAAAATTGAAACTGATCCATTTGCATGAAATCTTTGACTTGATGTAGGTGGAGGGCAAGATAATCAAGGCGCAGATCTGGGACACCGCAGGTCAAGAGCGATACAGAGCTATCACCAGCGCTTACTACCGTGGAGCTCTAGGAGCAGTCCTGGTCTACGACGTGAGCAAGCCCACAACCTTTGACAACATCAGCCGGTGGCTCAAGGAGCTCCGCGACCACGCTGATGCAAACATCAGAATCATGCTCGTCGGCAACAAGACTGATCTGAAGCACCTTCGGGCCGTCGCGACAGACGATGCGCACAAGTTTGCTGAGGCAGAAGGGCTGTCCTACATTGAGACTTCAGCTCTTGAGGCCACAAATGTGGAGGAGGCATTCCAGCTGATTCTCGGTGACATTTACAGGGCCATCAGCAAGAAGCCCGTGGCATCAGATGAAGGCGGGGCAGGTGCCGCTGGAGGTGTCAAAGAAGGGAAGACGATCAATGTCGCTGCCGGTGATGCCAATAGTGAAAAGAAGCAATGCTGCTCAACTTAGAACGAATCCTTCAGTTTCAGATGTCATTTCGTGTACCTTGTGTGGTGCTTGTGATTGTTCTTTCTTTTTAAGTTTATTAAAGCTTCGTTGATTCATTTTGTCAGATAAATATTTACCTTGCTATACCTGACAGTCATATATTACCTAAAGCAGTTAATTACTACATATACAGTAGTATCATGTCAAGATCATTGGTTCCTCCTGCATTACTCTTGTCCATTTTTTCAGGGTTGCATCAGTCAACATCCTGCTAATAAGCAGAAACTGACAAGCCTCCAAACACCAGCAAATGACAAGAGTGACAAGCTTGCATCAAGCATCATGATGTTCAGTTCCAACATCATGCATCATATATATTAAATTTAGGCTTATAAACTGTTTTAACAAACCGATGATATCACAAACTGTGGCAAGTAACGAACACTTTGTGCACGCATGATGATGTTGTCTAATGCTAAAGTATCATCCAATCCAATGCTTTTTTTTCCAGCCTTGTGACGAAATGAATCCTCCAACATTTGGCTAGTGCCATGACAGGAACGGCGTCTTGTTGAGTTCATGATGAGCAGCAGCTACTGCTGCTGTTCTGCTGTTGAATGGGCTGGCCTCTCATGTGAATATGGACAGTTGGTTTCCTCTCCACGGCAGGTTGGGTTGCCATCCTGCAGAGGTTGCACGGCAAGGAAATTCACTAGTCAGTCAGGTAGACATAGACCCCTCGTTTGTTGTTGAAAGGCACGGAAAGGAACTAGGAGTACAAAAGGTACATAAACTGCATCATCGGCATTTATTATTCAACATGAAGAGGGTCCTATTATTTTCAGCTTATGAATTATGGATTATCGTGGGCACGTTTCCCAAGTTCCTAAATGGTTCCATTTCTTTAAAAACTTTCTTCACCAGCATTTCTTAGAATTTTTTTAAATCAACATTTCAACTTTCTAATATTAAATTTATTCATTTGCACCCTCAAATAATTGTCATAAACTTTCATCAGCTATAAAGAAGCAATATTCAGAATGGTCATAGCCTAGGAAATCAAATTTCATGGTCGAGTGCAAAACTGGAATTTCCTTTCAAAGGATGGAAAGGTTCATGACAAAATTTGAGAAAGAAGTTCAAAATTAAGCTAGGGAAAAATATGGGCCTCCAAGGCTCCAAGGGTGCAACAAATGGATTACTCCTACCTTTTCTTGATGTCTGACGACATGGTTAAGAAAGCTTCCTCCACATTGATGGATTCCTTTGCACTTGTCTCAAGAAAAGAAATCCCTAATGACTCTGCAAAAGCCTGCAATTAAACATTAACATTTCAGTCAGTTGATACCATGTTCAGTCTTTAGTCCTGAAGAGCAGAGACTGAAAATGCATTCAGGAAGATATATACCAAGAACATACAAAGATATAGGTCTACAAAAGAAGGTACATGCTACATAGTGGTTTCTGGAAATATTTTCACAACCAGGGATACAATATGACAATATCCCTTCAATAAGCTCAATGGATACTACATTGATCTATGTATGCTAACAACAGACATCTCTGATAAGTTGATGACAGCAACAATCAGTGAATATGACATTCTAAGTGTAGCATGACTGCAGAAATTTCCTATGATTTCTTTAAAACTATAAATTACCTTGGCTTCTTCTGTATCAACAACCTTACTGTCAACCAAATCACACTTGTTCCCAACTAGAAGCTTGCATACACTGTCACTGGCATACCTATCAATCTCACTCAACCACTGCTTCACATTATTGAAGCTTTCCATGTCTGTCACATCATAAACAATCTGAAAAAGTATTGTAAGATGTATTAACTCCATGCGTGGAAGTCTAGATCTTGAAAAGTAGAACACAACATATAATGCAAAAAGAAAGAAGGAAGAAATTCAATTCAATAACAACCAATGTAAACTGTAAACCTATTCAGTCAATCGTAAATCATTCAGTACTACATCGCGGAAGAAAAACAGTACAGCTAAAAAAATCAGTTTAAGATTTTAAAGATCTTATAAACTGCAAAAACTCAATAGGACTTACAATGATTCCATGAGCTCCCCGGTAATAACTGCTTGTTATTGTCCTGAACCTTTCCTGACCTGCTGTGTCCCACTGAAAAAGAAACAACATCATTATAATAATTTGAGGGCTGAACAAATAAAGGTATATTTCATAAAGCAATGTGTGTCCTGATACATCAATACTCACCAAACAATTAAACATTAAGACCATAATTTCCAATTGTTTATGTATATATGTCTACTTGGCAAGCATGTGTAATCTAAATCTGATGTGAACTGATGCAGTAAATCAGCTGCTTGGCAAGTACATTGTCCCAACTCTAAGCTTTTCTTTAGGGTCCCAACTATAAGCTCTCCCTGACTATAACTCTAAGCTATGTGGTCTTAATTAGCTAGATCTTGAAAACCTCTCCTATCAACTGTACCAGTTCCCTCCAAAAACAAAGTTGCTGAACAGTCCAGTTCCTCAAATTAGTTTAGGGGTAATTGTCAATGCATGCCTGCATGGTAATTGCTCCATTTCCTGTCCATTCTCCCTTCAACAATAATAGGAGGAAAATGGCAGGTCAACAACTCAGAAAGCATGGACAAGTTGTTTCATTCAAGAATATTCTGCACAGATGGCAAAATTCTTAAATTTTACACCCATCACCATGGTTCTATCATTGTATTCCTCTAAGATTACAATTTTGGATTATTGGAACTAGCACCACGTTTTAGAATATCCAGAGAGTATAAACAAAGGGAGTAAGAACTGAAAACACCGGTCCGGCGAAAAGGAACTGAAAACCAACTTATGACTCAAGTTTTGACAGGATAATGCTAAGGGAGGATACAAGCCAAGCATCCCTAATCCATAGTAGATTGAGTTCCAAAGTTTCTAGAACTAGGCATTATCATCAAAAGTCATGCATCCCAGGCATGAATTAATCGTGCAATTATCTAAAAAATGGATTGGTCTGAACTCGCATAAGAGAATTGTCTCGATGAGGAATGAACTTACAATCTGTAGCTTCACTGTCTTCCCATCGAGTTCAATGGTTCGGATTTTCTGAAAAGGTGACATATTCACTAACAAATTAACGAAATTTGATTCAGTTAGATGATAGCAACTGCAGAATTCAATGGTTCATCAATAGCAAGAGAAGAGGAAGATTTGTACTGACGAAATCAACACCGATGGTACTGATGTAAGTGTCGATGTACGAATCGTCCTGCATGAATCAAACGAACCGGAACTTGTCAGGACGAGAAGTTAATTAAACACCGAACTGTGCTACTCTATTGAAATAAAGAAGAGAAGTTTCCGAGCGAAATTAAGATGGAGGCTTTCTTACAGCAAATCGGAGGAGGAGGCAGGACTTGCCGACGGAGGAGTCGCCGATGAGGAGCAGCTTGAACAGGTAATCGCTGCATCAGAAAACGCAAACACCATTAATCGCAGTTTCACAAAGAGGGGAAATTGGAGACGACGGCCGCGGCGGCGGAGAGTCGGGAACTTACTACTCGATGCTCATGGCGTCCTCTTGGGTTGTTGGGTCTCGACGGATTTGGAGGACGAAAAACTAACTAGAATTCTAAAAAGGCGAGGTTTTTTAGCGAAGGGGAGGAAGAGACAGGTGGAAGGAGGATCACAAGAAGAAGGCAACCTTGGAAACTAACCAAGGAAGCAAAGCGAACAAAAAGGTTGCTTCTTTTCTTGGTGCGGTCGCATCCGTTTTATCAGGCCATAAACCCAAGTCAGGAACTCCCAACTCACAACAAAGTGGGTTCGGTTTGCCGGCTAAAAAGGAATTTTTAAGAGTCAAAAAGGACTGGGAGCTTTTCATTGACAGGTGACTAAGCACAGTCAATTTCTTCCCTTCAGAGTCCAAATTAAAGTTAGGCTGTCTTGATTTGTGACTCAAAATTACTATATTTATCTTTTTTTTATGTCCATATTCATGTATATTTATTTTAGGACGGAGAAAATACTAGTACAAACTTGCATGATACAGTATATTGTGAAATTTTGTATGATAATGTAAAGTGGTTTGGTTGTGGTAGATCTTTTTTACTTATTGCTACCAATGGTGTATTATTATTAGTTAAAGATTGTAAAGCTGGTGAAAGCTTGACATATAAAGGTTTTGTTTTCATCTAGTACAGTAGTAGAGTATTTTTTTTTCTTTTTTGATTGATGGTGATAAAAAAATCATCTCTCCCAGTTGCAACTTCCAAATTTGGCCGGATAAGGCCAGCCCACAGCCCAAAATAGTGAAGCGATGGGGCTAAATGGGCCAAAGAAATGAACGGCAACTCCCAATTCACTTCACTTCGTAGTAGTAGTAGTAGGAGACGACATCCATGGCCGCCGTCGCCTTCCGCTTGGGACAGCGCGTGCACGCCGCCGGCGACCCCGCCCGCGTCGGCACCGTGCGTTACCTCGGCCCTGTCGACGGCCACCCCGGAGACTGGCTGGGCGTCGACTGGGACGCCGGCGCCGGCGGCCGCCATGACGGGTCGCTCGCCGGCCGCCGCTACTTCGTTGCCGCCGGGGAACGCTCCGCCTCCTTCGCGCGCCCCACCGCGCTCAGCGCCGGGATCACGCTCCCCGACGCCATACGCAACCGCTACCGTGTCGAGGAATTCACCAAGGAGGAACAAGGTCCGCATCCCTCGATTCCTCGGCTTCCAAATCCAAATCTTGCTGCTCTTCATTCCACCAGCTAGCTTCTTTTTCTTTTTTTTTTCCCATTCCACTTATTAATTTTTTGCTAAAATTCATCCTAGTACATACTTTCTACCTTCTATGCGTTGTAAATAGCATTCGAGAAATCGGCTACACATTTTTTTTGTTGCATTATACAACTTAGGCTCAAGCATCCATGTTGGCATGTGTATATGTACTAGTTCTTGAATTTGACAGTTGCTCATTGCTTGAGAGCATGTATGGGACACCTCGTGTTAAAATTTCAAAATCATGTGCTATTGGTGGGTTGGCGTAAGATTTTCCAGCTACTCTGTTTTCTTTTCCCTGTTTCAAGGGCAGAAGATTTTCCGTTGCTTGTAAAAGCAATATGCATACACCTTTTTACATTTATAATGATACCCGATATAAACATTTTGTTGTGTCCAGATGAAATGTATGTCTTCTCATCAAGTCAGAAGCGCGTGTCAGTGGAATTGGTTGGCAAGAACAAAGTTGAGGAAAAGCTGAAAAACCTCAATGATCTGACCAGTGCATCTGTATCCTACATGGGAGTAAGCTCAATTGGGCCAGGAGATGAACTAAAGAATTTGGTTCCAAGTACTTACTATCCTTTAATCCTTAAATCATCTCTTTTATTTGATTGTTTTGCAACCCAGCGATACATGTCAAGCTTCCTGATCTTATATATTGGAAACGTTACCTTCCTTAGAGGGAACACAATGTATATATTTTGTTTGGTTCACTGGAGGCTCTGCAGCTAAAGCATTTAGTTCACTGCATATTTTGGCATTGGAAATGAGATAATGGAATAGAGTTTATAGTTTCTTAACGTATGCAAAATTAAAAGGGTGGTAACCTAAAGTACTTCGTATTTGTGTCACTTTTTATTCTTTGAGTGTAAATTTGAGACTCGATGTACTGACCGACTGTAACAACGTCGGCATCTACAATAACTGAGTTGAAATACCTTTTAGCTGCATTTTCTTATTAAAGTTTCCTTTAGCAAACTAAATATGTGTTCACCCCACAGCTGGGTCATTTTCAACTACAATATTCTCATATTTCCTATAAAGATGACATTATGTATTGGCTCACCTCTAGCATCTAGGTTCTGGGTTAAGACTAGTCCCTTAGGACCTAATTCAGTTGTATCACCATTACATAATCTATTTGAAAATGGCATGAATTCTCTTAGGCCATTAGTAGGCACTGAGCATTGGAGGGATGATTTTACTAGTAAACATTCATTAGAAATTTGCTGGCAGGACTGTCATGCATACTTGGCCTATGTTTATCCTGAATTCTGATGAGTACTGACAATAGTTTTGCTCGTTTCAGATCTCAGACAGCTTGATTTAACTGGAAATCTTCTCTCTCAGTGGCAAGTATGTACCTCAAGAGACTAACATTATGGTTAGCACAATTTTTAATTAGTATGGATATAACATACAAAACTTCATAAATTGAAACATGCACAGCAAAAGGCTGTATGCTCTTCATTACAATGGTGCCACATTGTGCTGTTGAACTTCATTACTCATAAGCTTGGAGTTTATTCAAATTTATGTTATTTTGACCTAGAAGTAAAACTTGTGGTATATCCCTGTATTGGATTATTAATACTTTTCATGTGCGTTGGTAAGCTATGTAATCATCACCAACCATCTTATCTTTTTCACCTCTGTTGAAAGCACATTTAGCATCTTTTACTCACTTGACAGTACAGGTCACGATTTGCTTGATATCCTGAACTTTCAATTGTTTTGTTATGTTTTCTCACAATTGATGCTAATGTTATGTTTCTTTTGGCATTTGGCTGAACAGTTTTGTTCTTTCACAGGATATATTCTCTCTGTGTGAAGCTCTGGCATCACTGGAAATTCTTGATTTGACAAACAATACCATGGAGAATGACTTTACTGACAGTTCATCTGTCAAGAATATCCGTGTTTTGGTTCTCAACTACTGTGGTGTAACATGGGAACTGGTATGCCCCTTGGCTGACACAATGAAGCTTCTATTTATTGATGCCAATCACAGTATAAGTTGATGTTTATTTATGTGAACAGGTTGAAAAGATTAAAGTCTCATTTTCATGTCTCAGTGAACTCCATCTAATGACGAACAGGATAAAAGCAATGATGGTTAGCGTTTCTTCTTGTACATTTTTTTGCCATGCATTTTATGCCTACTGCTTCATTTACTGTTATTCATCCAAAGTAAAACAGAAACTCCTCATAAAAGTTTTCCCCTGGCTAACTGGAAAATGATCCATTTGGAAATTTGAATAGGTAGTCCTTCCAAATCTTGCAGTGCAAGGTTTTCCTTCTTCAACTTTGTGTACATTAAGAAACAGCTTTGAAGAACTAACTATAAACTATCATGTGTCCGCTTATCTAGACTCCAGTTGGAAATATTGTTCAAGGTTTCGATACACTGCGACTCTTAAATTTAGAAGACAATCACATTGATTCATGGGATGAAATTGTGAAACTATCTTACTTAAGAAGGTACAAATGTATAACTGAAGCTTTTGTCTTAAGTTAATGTTACTTCTGCATTTCAGAACTGTAGATATTGATGTTTTTCCTTCTTTTTTGGGGCAGCTTGGAACAGCTCCATTTGAATAAGAACATGCTAAAACATGTAACATATCCATCCAATCCTCCTCCACTAGGATCTCTTGGCGATGCAGCTGTTTTGCCTTTTGAAAAACTACGAGTTCTTCTCTTAGGTATTTTTTGTGATCTGGCTTCCCTTATCTATTCCATAACAAAATATCGAATCTAAGATATTTTCTGTAATATCTGGCTTCCGTTATCTATTTGGGAAAATTGATCATGCGCCATGAAATGTTTTCCATAATATTTTCTGTTTAAGAACTGCCTTTAATTCAAGTAAGTTCAAAATGACTTGCTAATGATCACTTTCAAATGCCTCAGGATCTAACCAGATAGATGAGGTCCTTTCTGTGGATTCACTTAACCTCTTTCCGAGTTTAACAGTAAGCAAGTTTCTTTCTAATGGTTTGTGTTTATTATTCTGAAATTTAGTATTGATGTTCAATTCCTTTTCTATGAGGTTTGAACAGTTAGAACTGCAAGATTTTGATACACTGCGATTCTTAGATTTACAAGAATGTTATGATGTACACCACACTGTATTTTTATTAGTTATGGCTTAGCACGCCAATACTAATATCTACTTTTCTAAAGGATGTCAGGCTTTCTGATAATCCTGTAGCTGACCCTGCCAAGGGCGGCGTGCCTCGATTTGTGCTTATCGCCCGACTAGGAAAAGTTAAAATACTGAATGGTAGTGAGGTATGTTGAGTCCCTGGATGTTTCTTGAGCATGTATGTTGTACAAATATGTTACTTCATCTTTCTTTTCCATATCCAGATAAGTCCACGTGAGCGAAGGGAAGCAGAGATACGGTCAGTTAATCCCTTCTGTAAATTTATTACCTTCTTTTATGATGTATAGGGCCTCTGTATATGGCTAGCCATCCATTATTTACATGTGTGTTTATCCATGCCAACGGTGAATTTTTCTTCTGGTTTTCTAGAAAGTGTTCTTGCACTTATCTATATTGTCTTGCTTTTCTCGAAGGAATACCACAATTACGATATCTGATACTTTTGATGCAAAAACATAGATATGTTCGCCTTGTTATGGGAAAAGCTGAATCATATGATCCTGAAGAGATCAAACGGCTGCACCCTAGGTAAGGTTGTCCAATTTCCCTTCTTTACTTTTTGACACCACATGACCATGATATAACCAAAGGATTTTTCACTACATATGCCATTATTTTGCTGCAAAGGACACATGTTGTTACTTAAATGATTTCACCACATGAGCTGTGACCTTACTAACTAGAAAAGCTCTACCTAGTCAATTCCAGCCTATATGATCTCAGTTATACCTGTTATTCAACAATTAGGATTATATGTCTATCTTGATGTTTACACGCGCTTCCAAATTTGTGTTGCTTGGCTTCATTTGCTAAATTTAACTTCCCTGGGACTAGGCTGGGACAGATACCTGATGATAGTGACGCACCAATTATTAATTGGATTATGCTTAGGCAATAACGATTTGTCAATGCAGATTTGCTGAGCTGAAAGCCTTTCATGGTATTGAGGATGAGAAGCCGAGTTCAAGGACTTCTGGTCCTCAAAAAATGGCTTCTGGGCTTATAAGTAATAATGTTGAACTATAATTAAGGCAAGAGAGTTGTATGGTATGCATGCGAGGAAGTGATTTTTTCTTTTCCTCCGTTGCACACAGGTATCACCTTGAAATGCGTAGGGCCATCTATGGGTGAGAAGCAACCATTGACAAAGAAGCTGCCTCCTGCAACTACTGTAAGTACTTCTTGGGTCCTATTACTACTTATTAGCTGTCCTTTTTTCGTGGTTGAGTCTTTGAGACCAGCAGATAGAGAAAAACGATTCTCTTTTTTCGTATGCACACTTTCCGAGCTGCTAAACGGTGTGTGCTTTACAAAAATTATTTATAGAAAAGTTGCTTTAAAAAATCATATTAATCAATTTTTCAAGTTTGAAATAATTAATACTCAATTAATCATGTGTTAATGACTCACCTCGTTTGGTGTATCTTTTCAATCTTCTCCTTTCCTTTCCTCTCAAACACAGGTTGGTTATGTTTAGCTTTCACATGCGAGATATTAGTGGCAACTTGCTGATAGTGATATAACATGCTCTCCTGTTTTGCTACGACGGCTAAATTGCCTATGATTTGCATGTTATAGGTTGGAAAGTTAAAATCTTTGTGCGAGAGCTTCTTTAAACTGAAGGACGTTAAACTGAGACTGTATCTTGAGGAAGAGGTATGGATTATTTGTGCTGTGTATGATCATTGCTCATGTATTAAAATGTTGTCGAGAAAGGAAAAAAAAAAGAAAAGAAGAGGCAGAAAGCTAGGTAGGGTAAAATACTTGCATGCTGGAACGGCTGGGATCTGATCGATTTGCATTTTGACAGGGTTGCCCTATGCCGCAATTCTTCGAGGAAGACACGGTTTCTCTCATGGAGCTTGGGATCGGCACGGGATCGACCATTATCGTGGACGAAGAAAGCTAGCCTAATCTAGTTTACTGGCATTCTTTGTGTGCGTTTTAATTTGATTTATTTGAGTAAATTTGGTGTGTTGAGCTGGAGAAAACAAAGTCCCTGTAACATGGTACAAATGCTCAAGTAACTTACACTCGGCAGCTTAACGCCATCAAATGTGTGTGCATGTACGTGCTCTCGAGTCTCGACTCGACCACATTATGAGTCATGACAGAAAGACAATCATTCTTGCTGTTTAGTACCTTTTGAGCATAATGGCTGGTTATAGCAACTTATCTTGCTGTTTATCTTTTAATCATAATGGCGGGCTGGTTATAGTAACTTTTAGATGTAAATCTAGGCATATTTTTTTATCAAGATATATAATTAAAAGTTATTATATTGTAAGACGGATGGAGTACTATTTTTTTTCTTGTTTGCACAAGAAAAAAAAAACTGGATGTAGCATATGATTCTCCAAGCCTTTTCTATCTGCCGCGTCGCTCTCCATCCAGCGATGGTGAATTCGTCAAATCTACCCCATAGTTCAACAAATGATTTCAGTCATCACTCATTCTTTCGGTTCTCACGCAACGGTCTAGATCGCATCTACGGAATTGACATTGTGCTATCTTCAGGATTGGGTTTCACTAGAATGCCATCCTAAAATATGGCTTCGCTAAAACACCATTTTCAAACCAGTACAACTTGCTGGAATGCCATTTCTTCCTCTCTTTTTTTTAATCAAATTACATGAATTTTACCTTGTTTTTCTTGATGAGCTGACCAAAATACCCCCTCTAGATTTCATCCCCTCTTTCGTTGCTTTGTTCCCATCACCGGTGAGCCACCGCCACCATTCTCCTTGGCTCCTTCTCGTGCTTGCAAAGGACCCAGATGTTGATATCATGAAAATGATATTATCTCTCAGTTACTATGATGTTCCTCACCATTTGAGAGCTTGTTTGCTGTACCTGAGTATATTTCCAGAAGATAATGAGATCAACAAACAACGTTTGATAAATAGATGGATCGCGGAAGGATTCATTCTCGAAGAACAAGGGTTAACAGACTTCATATGAAGTTGGTGAACGCTATTTTAACTAGCTCATCAATAGATGCTTGATCCAATTCCAACCAGTTGGTTCAAAGCATGGTCAAGTTGATGGCATCATTCTTGATTTCCTTGCATGCAATGCAAGGCTTCTGAAGAGAATTTTGTTACCCCATTCGATTCAATGATGATACAGAGCAAGGGCTTGTTTCAGACAATAAGGTGGTCAGGGTTGGTAGGCTTCGTTCGTGTGAATAATCAGAATGGACAGCACGGCTGCTCTTCTCCGTCGGCGGGCAGCTGCTCTTCCTCGCCTTCACTCACCTCGATCGATCGGCACGCGGCTGTGAGGAAGCAGATGATGCTCCAGCGCGCCACCTCGATCCTCCCCGAACAGCCAGCCTCTCCTTGTTCATCTGCCAGAACGCGCGCGCCCACGAGCCTCCTCGCCGACATGGCTGCGCCGCCCCCTCCTCCACTCCATCGCAGCAGCACAGCCGGCCGACGACGACAGTGTGCCCCGCTTCCGGATCCTGTCCAGCCGCCTCACCACCGCCCTCGCACCCACGCTGCTGCCTCCCTCGTCGTCGCGCCGGCTTCTTCCCCTCCTCTCACCAACCAACCAAGAACAACAGACAACGGGCAGATAGCGTGCCTACCGCTGCCCGCCAGGGGCAAAAAGGTCTGTCTATGTGCCAAAACATTTTCAATTCATGTAAAATGGAGAAAATGAATAGCATTCCAGCAGCAAATTGTACTCGTTTGAGAGTTGTATTTTAGCGAAGCCACATTTTTCGAAGATGGTATAATATCAATTTTCTCGTCTCGACCTACCACTCCTGTATCTCTGTATACGCATCACACGCCCACAGTCCGCTCCACGTTCTGCATTGCTCGTGATCTTCCTCTCCTCCCTTTCAACCACCGCCGCCGAATTTCCTCACAACCATCATCATCGCGATTGCCAACGATCCCCCACCTCGGGTTTGTCGTCGCGGTGACCGAGCCCCCGCCAACCGTCGTGCCGCGCCACCCTGTCTCGCTCTAGCGCCATTGCTGATTCGTCAGATCGAGGTCTAGCCGCCGGCTTTGTGCCGCCCAAGAGCAGGAAGAACGCGGGGTTGGTGTGAGGGATCCTCGGCTCGATCGAGGCGCAACCCGTTCATGACGTGAGCGCTCCCGGCCGTTGGGAGCCACGTCAGCCGGCGGCCTCCGCCGTCGAGCTTTTCCTCGCCGACCGACACCTTCTCCCTACCCATTGGCGAATGCCCTGGAGGTTTAGGTTGAGATGGGAGTAGAGGGGAGTGAGGTGAAAGAAGATTGCTGGTTGGCTTGTGGGGGCCCTACACTGACTCGGCCGCCACGTGAACAACAACAACAATTAAAAGTGATCCTGTTAAAACTCAACGACAAGATAAGGGACCTTAGATGAACTTTTTTGGGATATGAAAAAACTCCAGCCTCATGGGCCTGTGCATATGACCCATACCGCGGCAGCAGAGCGCTGCACGACCTCCGCCTCCGCAATCCGTCCCGTCCCGTCTCCTCGCCTGCCGATCTCCATCTAGCAGAGGTGGCGCCGGCGTCCTCCTGCTCCCGCCGCATTCGCTCGCCGGTGAGCATCCTAATCCATCCCATCCGGCCTCGGCCTCGGCCTCGAATTTCGTCTCCTCGCCCGCCGCTTGCGCCGATCCCCATCCTGCGAGCAGAGGTGGCGCCCGGCGTCCTCCTTCAATTCTTCCACCGCATCGTCGCTCGCCGGTGAGCATCCCCTCCCTACCCACACCGTACCTCATCAGGTATTCTGCGTTATCCCTCAAAAAGTTTGGGGGTTCAACCGAAACAGGGTTAGATCTGCCTCTGCCCAGCTCCACCTACTTCCAACTTGTTGTTAATTTTGATTTCCATTTTTATTATAGCAGATGTAATTTGGTCATCCAAACACCCTTAGAACGAAACATGTAAGCTCACATAATTTGTGCTCATCCAAACTCACATAAATTTCTTAAGAAGAATCTAGACCACAAACTACTCATAGTCACACAAAATATCTTTTTATCAAGGTATATTCTTATAAGAAATTTTCATTCCACAAAATTTTCTAAAGGACATACTGTCACACTTGGCATTAATCTAATTTAACTTTTTTTTCTTTATCAGGTTATAAATTTTCTAAAAGACATTTGTGCCACTTGCATGAATCTAATTTAACATTCTTTCTTTATCAGGTTATAAATTGAAACCATTGAACGTACTTTGTCTTCCCGTCCCTAAAACATTGTGATATATCTATAATATTTTAATGTTTTTAATTTTAAAAATAATTTAGACTAATAATATAGATATTTAAATTAGGTAATTAATAAATTCAAATAAACTATAGTTTAGAATAAAAATGCAAAATGATATGTGCCAAGTACAATCTAATAACAATAAAATGTTAGAAACAATATTAATTCAATATTTTTATAAATTTTAAGTACGATTCATACTTAAAATTAAAGAAAAATATAAATTTATATGTAAGTGAGAACATAATAAAATGTAAGTTAAAATCATTAAAGGAAAAATATTATTAATAAACAATGATGTTGATGTATTTCTAAATATTTTCACGTATTATTTATTAAATGTCAATGAGTGAAATGTATGATTTACCATGCGACAGATTAATTATTAAAATTGTATTGTTTTCATCCGTTGCAATGCACGGGCATTTTGCTAGTCCACCTAAATTAAACCAAACAAATGGAGTAGTATATACTAAGGGAATGGTAATTATGCATATGTAACACCAATTTACTTGAAATTTTAATATCCAAAAACTAGATAGATAGGGGTTAATATGTAAAAGTGCCTTTCTCCATTAAATTAATTCCACTTTCCCACCTCACCTCCAAAAACTATCAACTAGATAGATAGGGGTTAATATGTAAAAGTGCCTTTCCCCATTAAATTAATTCTACTTCCCCACCTCACCTCCTCTTCGATTGATTTGAGGAGATAGGGGTTAATATGTAAAAGTGCCTTTCCCCATTAAATTAATTCTACTTCCCCACCTCACCTCCTCTTCGATTGATTTGAGGAAGAGATTCAGTCACCTTTTTTGTCAGATCTTGCCAGGTGTTGCCCACACGCTCGATTTCGTCAACTCTTCCGCTCCCATCTTTCCAAGCAAAAAAAAATCTTTTTCGCGCAAGCAATCCAAATCCAAACCCAAAGGTGGAGCCTTTCTTCCGATTTAAGCCACCCACCCTGTTCACAAGCAATCCAAATCCAAACCCAAAGGTGGAGCCTTTCTTCCAATTTAAGACACCCACCCTGTTCACCCCCGCTTCCAATCCAATCCCTCCTTCGTCTCCTTCCCCTACAAGTTGGGTTGGATAGTTGCACTTCACCCCTACAAGTTGGGTTGGATAGTTGCACTTCACCGTTTCTTGGATTGTTTCATGCTGCAAGGCCAGACATTTATTTGTTCCGCGCGATTTGATCATAAAAAGTTGCAGGTTCTGGTTTCTTGGTGCCCGCAACAGATAGGCTATTGCGTTTTGCTGGACTCTTCTTTTTCTTGAAAAGTTTGCCAAGAAAATGTCATTTTTCACGAGGATTGGCGTTTGGCCATGGATACAGAACAAGGTCGTCGATCCCCTAATGCAAGTAGTTAGAAGGTAAGTTTTCCCCCTTCCATCCGGTGTCACATCTTGGGCTAGATCTGCTTAACTTCTTCGCGAAATGGTTTGTTTTCATTTTGTCCTTGCGTTGCTGACAACTTTCATGTAATGTTGTGCAGGGGAGCTGAGCCGAAGCAACTGGCTTTCTCTGCTGCTCTTGGTGTCACCCTTGGGATCTTTCCGATATGTGGTAAGGAGCCTCTCAAGCCTCAGCATGTCTTCATTGTACCAGATTTTTCTCATAGTTTAACTGAACAAAAGAAGATATCCAAATTAACTGAGTTAAGTGGCCTTAGACAGCCAAGGAGGTTATGATTAGATACAAATTTGCGCATTTAAGCTGTGTAGTTTCATTGTGGCTTTTGATAAGCTGGGGCACTAACTTTTTTTTATTCTTGAAACAATGACTTCCTGCTCCATGGTCTTGAAGAAATAGCACACAATCCTTTTTGGTAAATTACAGATACATGTAGAGTACGTGTATTTAATCTGTTGTGAAATTCGAAGTTCAGTGTTGTTGCGATGCAATGGTAATAGTGTTCTGGTTCTAGAAAGATTAATTCTGGTTGTTATCTTAGAAGTTTGGAGGATCCGTTTTATATTCTCGAGCACTTGTAAATATGATGTGGAGTAGCTACCGAGTTAAAAAGTTTCACAATATTTCTGTGGTGATGATGCTCAATCATGTCTGTGTATAATCCTGCAAGTGAAACTGTCAACACTTTTCACTGTGTGGCATGAAGTTGTAACTTGTAAGCATCGTGCCTGCTGAGCTACTGGTAAAGTGGCAAGCATGTCATATATTCCTCAAAACAACATGATGCATCTTGAGCTTTCATGATTGCAGGGACCACTGTTATTCTTTGTGGAGTTGCAATAGCAATGTTGGGAAGTAGCTGCAATGCTGTTACTGTCATGGTTCTAAATTTCGTTGTTACTCCCCTTGAGCTAAGGTAAACTTGTATTAAATTATTGAGAAGCCACATTCCTGTTGTGCTATCTCTTTGCATGTTCTTTTGTATATACGCCAAACTTTGTTCATAACAGTATGGTGGTCTTTTGCATCATAAAATAGTCTTAGACGTCTGTAGATGCTTGATCTTCTATGTCAAGCTTTGCTCTATGATACGAATCTATGATAGGCCAGGCTATCTGATTTCTTTTGAGTTTGTGTAGCCTGAGTTCCCCTGTTTGGTACTCTGGTATTATCTTGCTTACAGTTTGCATCTTTACATATTATAATCCTCATGTGCATACACTCCCAAATCCATTTTTGTGTTCTTATTAGCTATTTATGGCTTTTGTAAATGCATTTGCTGTTGCTCATTGCTTGCATCTGATGCCTTCTGTATGAATATTTGGATATGTTACAATTTCTGATGTATCCATGAACTGCTTTACTTCAGGTCTTTGCCTTTGCACTTTCATTTATATGTATATTTTCTCTGTAAATGACTAACGGTACCTAGTGCAACAGTGTAGATTTATGACCCATGACAACCTTTGAATTGATTTACCACTGCTGGTGACCTTGTCATTTTGCCAGATTCCTCACTTGGTTTCCATGTGTTTGGCTTTGCTAATTCATTACTGATTATGTTTTGTTCAGCTTGATTGTCCCTTTCTTGCGTTTCGGAGAAGTTATCACAGGCAGTGGACACTTCCCTTTGACTTCAGATGCATTCAAGAAGGTTATCACTGGCCAGGCCTCAAAGGATGTGATGCTCAGCATTGTGCATGCGGTTAGTAAACAAACTTCATCTATTATCCATCTAGCTGATGATATGGCCATTGCTTTGCCTTTGAGGAAACACTGACATGAGTTCTACTGCCAATGCGGATCACAGATGCTCGGGTGGCTGATCGCTGCACCGTTCGCACTTGCTGCGCTGTACATGGTTTTCACCCCTTGTTTCAAGCTTATGGTCGACAGGTTTGGCGGCGTTCCGTCGAGTCCAAGGACGCCGATCAAATTAGTGTAGCCGTGATGTGGAGAGTGATCTGTCCAATACAACGCTTCTGAAGCTGTATATATCAATTATAATTTGTCATGTCCTCAGATTGAGATTGGTCCCTGCCAACATTTTGCTGGGCCATCCTGGACGCCTGTATGAACAAAATCTATCTTCAGAGGCATATATGATGATTCAGCGTATTGCATTCAGGCGTCTGCCTGGGTTATATTTCCTTCTAAATTTGAGTCAAAACTGAAGCCTTCTCGTCGACCTGGTTTAGTGTTTCGCTCTTCACAGCCATGGTACCTCATTGAGATGAGCATTCATTTGCTAATTTGCGTTTAATTGTGGATTTGTGGTTCATGGCAAGCAATTCAAAATGCTTCCTAGGAAATCTGCAACAAACCTTTCTTTACTGTCTCTAGATTATGTTTTTGCTCCTCAATTGATGATCACAGAAAGCCTATGGGCTATGGTACAATCTCATGGTAGTATCTCTGTGGATGGAAACTTGTAGCTGTGTCATCAACACCAACGAACAACGTGGTGATCAGAGTACATTAGTTAACATTAACGCTCATGTCAACAGGAAGGAAACCGACATCACATACACATCAGAAGAGATGCACATTCATCAACATGATTGTTCACGCAGATAATATGGCATTATTGCCTACAGACTTGTGCTTTGTTCTTGCCAGTTTCGTCAAATTCATCTAGTCTATGGAAAGTCACTGTAGCCACCAGATAAGTAACTATTACAAACATTCAGTGTGTTCAAATCTTGTTCTAAGGTTACCCACAATCATACGTGGTTCTACACAAAATACTATATATATATATAATCATTAAAATTGTTTGGATTCATCTGTGTATTATCCCGTCGTTGGATCAACCCAATTTTGCAAAGGAGGGTCAAGCCTTGAGCTGCTTCACTGACTCGTCAACTTACTGATTTTGGATGCACACTAGAACAATCTAAATTACTCCCAAGTTTCATAGAAACTCAAGCTCTGCATGCTGGCCTCCAAATTCTCCTACAAATGGAAATAAGCAGGATCAGAAGACTAACTTTTTTTCTCGAACGTACAGGAGAGCTGCGTGTCATTCCATTAAACAAACAGTACATCACAACCTACATTCCATTAAAACAGACACGCCACAGAAGAAAAAAGTGACCAAAGGACACTAGAGATCTAAACTATCCCGAGTTCCTGACCCATAAACTCTCAAGATCTTTAGCTCCAGTTGCCATCTACATCAGAAGATATTTCACAATACATGCTACAATGGTTTGGTTTTGCAGCAATGAGCCCAACAACGGACCATGTGTGGCAGAAACCGGCACAATATCCAGAGAAGTTCCAACAGTCCTTTTTCATATTCACTTTCTCTATGTATCTTAGTTGGTCGAAATAGTGAGAACTTAAACGACATGGTTCAGGATCATCTGGTTTCCAACAGTAGGATCTATACATGTTAATTCTCTCCTTGAGATAGACTGGAAACCGTGAAGTTTCTCCTTAAAGCGTTATGTTAAGAAGGGTTTGAAGATTATTCGTTCTAATCAAGAGCACTTCTGCATAATGACATGTGGACTTGGCAAGCAACCACAATCAGTGTTCACAAAATGCCCATGGTGTTCGTAAATATATTTACATAACAAAAGTATCATCTTGTCTTAAAATTATTATCAAGTAGCCATTCAAAACAAAGATCTAAATAGAAAGCACATACCACTGATATTGATCTGAAGTCATCAGAGAACAAATCTTGATTGGTTGTTTCCAAATTTCTTCCCTTCTGGGCATGGCGCATGTTTTCCTTTTCTTCGTAAAAATAAAAATCATCCAGAATTGATGTTCCCTGGTGATATGCCTTGAAAATCTTCAACATTTCCAGACCCTGGGGCAGCCCAATCTACATAGAAGGACAAAAGGTTGCTGGATAAAAACGAATCAACAATACAAATGGATAAAAAAAATCAAAGCATGGAATAACAGCATTTGACATCATGTAGAATATTCATAATCTGAAAGGGAAACCTTTCTTCAGAGGACTGGAAATAAAACCTGGCAACCTGATATAGACACCTAATTTAAAATAGTTAAGTGTCCATTTCATTTTCAAAGATATGGAATACTTTTTAGTTTCTATGTTCTTGATTGTACCAATATAAAAGAGACTACGACTAAACAAATTATAAAAGAGAGTATTCCATTTCTAACTATAAGAACCCTTTCAAAAAAAAAAGTCTCAGAACAAAGCTACAAGCATGGTACCTCCTGAGTGTCCCTGCTAAAAGTAACTACTTTGCCTTCATTATTTTCAAGAGTTATATGTTTGAAGAACCGATTTGGAATGTCCTTTATAATGTGCCACATTACAGGGAAAAATCCATTCCATTTATCCTGCTGCCAAAAGTCCATGGTCTTCTTGAAATCAACAGGACCTAACATCTCAGCTAATCCTACAAACTGCCCACTGGTATTAACCTGGAAAAAAAGGGATCATAATAAAATTAACTATCTTGAAAATTGGACAGATGATAAAACATAAAACAGATAATAAGGAATTGCTTCAGGCACATGTAGTAACCATATGATAAAAATAGCCATACAACAGACGAGATATGGAGCTGCTTCAAGAGCTTTTGGTTGTCACATGATAAAACGGACTTAAAGAAGACAAAAAATGCTTCAGGCATATTTGGTGAATGGTATCCAGTGGATCAAATCTTCTAGAGAAGCCCATTACTCAATCTAATGGCAGGACATTGTGACCAATATTTCAGGTAAAATCAGCTCTTTCAGACGGTGGGGATTATGACTGAGCAAGTAATTCTACTGAAATCTTAACAATACAAAGATATCAGAATCTAATCCCTCCTAATCAAACAAGCTCAAAGGAAATTCAATGTATTGTTGAAATAATTAACCAAGTCAAAAAGAAAATCTGGAGCAGGTTGTCTGTAGAAGCTGGATCCATGGCTATCAATCACTATAGTTTTCTTAAGAATACTCATTCACGATGAAAACTAAAATCATAAAATGTCCGCAAGTGAAGAGTGAAGATACAACAGCCAATCATCTCAATTTCCTAAATAGAAGACAATAAACTAAACACAAACAAACATGCACTAAAAAAAGCACCGGCATGTCTCACTTAACTATCATATTTAAGCATCAAACACAACAGGTACTAGGACGCCAAATAATATATCTCAGCGTTATTTTAGGTGGACTTTTTCTTAATAAGGATGATACTTAGAAGAAGAGAATTTCATCCTTACTGACCGAAAAGAATAGGAATATAGGGCACCTTTTGCCCTGCTCCTTCATTAAAATCTGAGCTTCATGAAAAGCAGCATCCAGCTTATTGTTACCATTTGGAGTGCTTGCCCAAACATTGTATTTGATACCTTTATGAACATCATCTTCGCTATATGACTTTATCATAAAGAACTTTGCATGCTCATACTGAACTGTGAACTCTGGTCTATTAATTTGATCTCTACAGACCAAAGGAGGGATGGCATTATTCTTGATAGATGATGTTGAAGAATTATTTAATTTATTTGCCCGGGGGCCACGAACTTGATCCCTTATATCCTCAGAATTTCTCCATAGGTTATCCTTATTAATCTTGTAGTGATCGGTGCTGCTTACAACCTTGTTAGCCACCCTAGGTTTTGTCATAGTACGTCTGCTTGAGATAATGTTGACTTGCTCATTCCTACCACCCCTGGAAATATTATCTCTTAAACGACCATTCCCATAAGAAGCACCTTGCTGGTAGTTCGACAATGGGCGTGCCTCAGCATCATGGCACCACTGACCAGAATGCAAGGGGATCTTATCTCGGTAGTGCCAATGGTGAGACAATGATGGGATTTTATCGCCATAGCATTGTCTGACTGATGTGGTTTCAGCACTATAATCCCATATTCTTGAATATGATGATGCAACATTGCCATTACACTTCTTAGAAGATAGCGATGGTATCTCATCACCATAGACCAGCCCTCTTGGTAGTGATGGGCCTCTATTATCAAAGCACCATTGACGTGAAATTGGAGTGATCTCATCCATGTAGTTTGCCCCTTTGGCTGTCTGTTTCAACAAAAAAATTGTCACGGTCAAATACTCCCGAATTCAAATGATCTTAATTATTTTCTACTGATGCCAGATAGAGAGATGTATATAGAAGTAACAACTCTATTATGATTAACACAATCAACAGATGTACCTCAAGGTGTTCAGAAGATTGACCATTGAAGTTTGAGAAGGCAGTAAATTGATCAGGTCTTCTGTACTGTTTGGAATTATCATCTTGGCTAAGATCAACTTTAACTTCATCTCGATACCTTATATGAGGAACATCAGTAGGATATGAAAGGTAATTTGACCTTGCACTGAGGATGTTGGTTTTGGTTCTCATTTCCCCGACTATATGCCCTGATGCATCTGGACTATTTGGCACTACTTTTAATGCAGAAGATTTTTCCCAAGAACAGCTTGAAGGGGAAAAGTAAGGCTGCTGCCCATGATATACTCTTCCAAGTGTCCTGGCTTCCTTAGAATATGCATGTGATCCAAGGTCAGTAGCAAAATTGGACTTTGAAGGTTGTTCTTGATAATCCTGAGAAGGGAGTTGTTTCAAAACAAAACAAAAAGAAAAAAGGGGTCACCTGATGAACAAAGCTTTACGTTTCAATGCAGTGCATGTTATCCATAAATTGCATATTAACATTGAAACACAATTGAATTACCACATTGAACCTGGATGATGGTTTTATTTACTATAATATATTGATTACAGCTACTAACAAAGGAAAGATTTTTCACAACTTGCATCACTCACTGTAAATATACATTGATTCTAATGAGAAGCAGAGCAATTCTAGCCTTTGGTCAAAAAATAGTGATGAATAAAGGGGCATGTTTCAAATCAAGTGAAACTCTGAAGTGTGGCTAAAAATCCAGCAGCTACTCCTAATTAATTAAAGGAATATAATTGCTGCTTTGCCTCCCTGCCTTTGATCTACTACCTCCATTTTTTAATAGATGACGCCATTGACTCGTCTTATTCCAAAAAAATAGTGTAAATATGCTAAAGTACAAGTCATTCTTAAAGTTTTTTAATGAGAAAACATGTCACAACAAAATAACTGACATTTATATAAAATTTTTGAATAGGACAAACGGTCAAACATCATGTCAAAAGTCAACGGCATCATCTATAAAAAAACAGAGGGAGTAAGATTTAACCTAGGTGGGTGGTATGCACACCTGCATGACCAACCAACCAACTTGGCTACAGTTTGGTCCTTGCTTTTATTGTTAACTTCAACTGAACTAAAATTTTGAAATAATGCAAACAACTTGAAATTCTATATCAATTGCTGAACTGATTGAGTGATTAGTACAGTATATTAGGGTGTTATTTCTTTACCTACAAAACTTCTTTATTAGGGATGGGAGTGGGTCAATATATGGGTGCCCATTGAGCCACTCTAATTCAAGCAAGCTGATCAACTAAAATTGCTTTTTTTTTTCTAGTTTATGTTGTGTATTTAGTTGAACTAGTGTGGATCAAATAGGTATCCATATATTTACCCTGTGACCCATTCCCATCCCAGTATTTATGTTTCAGCAATATGTCCCTTCAAATGTTCCCATCAACGATAGTAGAACAGATAGTTTTGTACCATACCAAGTTCAATGAACCCCTGTTTGCATGAGATAGAAAATGGTCAGCCTTTGTGCATTTCATCCCATCTCCTGAAGAATGAGACAGAAAATGGGTGTCGTTTTCAAGTTTCATGACATCCCCTGCAGAATGAGACAGAGATTTTCACAGAATAAAACAAGGTGTACAAAAAACAGCCTCAACTAGAATATATTTATTTGGAAACTGCCGGATGCATACATGGCCAGTATGAAGAGATGGAACCTTGCTGAATAACCACGTCATTCTTGGTTGTGCTTCTCACAGAGCTGGAGGTAACATTTTCTGTTTCTGGTGATGTTGATAACACTAAGGTTGGCCAATCGAATTCTTCCTGCATCTGTCAATCACAATAGAAGTATGTAAATGGAAGAAAAGAACTGATAATAAGATGGTTATTTCTTGCTGTTATTATTATTCAAATATTGCAACTGGCGAACAACTACGGCAAAGCATCTTCAAACTCATCAGCAGAAGATAGGTTGCAGTAAGATTATTGCAGAGGGTGATCATATTTCTCTTAGAATTTCACATGGAAGCAGCTGCATGCACATTTTATGCAATCGCTGCTTCTGTAGATATAATCCGACATCAATCAGTCATCAGGGAAAATAAATAAAAGATCATCAGGCAGAATATATATGTATATATAAGCTAGCCTTTAAAGAGAGATCAATCTTGAATACTCATTTGCCTAGACGGATCAAAATTCAATGCGACATTTCATCAAATATTTATCAAGAAAGCCATGTTTAAATAACCAAACAATATATTCTCTAGATTGTGAAAAATGGTTTGACAAGGTGACTTTGAACAAAATCCTTGCATCAGCTATATGTTATGAGAAATTCTCCCTTTACTTATCCTCTGCGGAGGACTAGCTGGAGCAGAGTTCCTATATGTATTTTTCTGTTCAAATGGGTGATAATGTGGGATTATTACATGGAAAAAGGAAATGTACCATTGGCAGTAAACCCTCACTCATTCACTCCACCAGGCCACCAGTGAGTGAGGCAGGGAGAACAGAAAGACGAATGAACAATTTGATAATCATAATAGTTATGAATAGTCAGCCATTTCCCACAAAGGGTTACAACCCTTACTTCTCCCAGCAGCAGATATGTAACTGATTGCCATAATTGATTGAACTTTTATTTGCTCGTTTAAATGAGATTGTTGATAGGGCAATAGACCACCGTTACATAATCAATCTGATCAAAACATAACGAGGGCAGAAAAAGGATGGAAAAGTTATACAACTCAGTCCCCTCGGTAAATCAACGCTCAACCACAAAAGATACAAATTTTATCTCTGAACAAGGCAACATTGTCCGATTACGCCCTAAATCCAAACGATTAAAATGGTCTTATAGGTGATCAAACCTCACCAGTTAAAATCAGGTGAGCACTTGCACACAGTTATGGCCCCCAGTGTGATACAAAAAGGGAATCTTTAACCCAAAAAATAACCCCCCAAAAAATGGTTCTTTTACCCCGGAATTGTGGGGGAAATCGGCAGTGGTACCCAAAACCACGAACAGGTTGATCGATCTTGCCATCGATTATTAGAAAGAAAGAAAGAAAGAAAGAAAGGGCATGAAATAGAAGAATGGAGGGCAGGAAATAATGCGATAAAGAAGAGGGAATCGAAATGCAGGAAGGAAGGAGGAGTTCACCGTGCGCGTGCGGCGAATCTGATGACGAGGATGAGGAGGAGGAGGAGAAGGAGGTATCGCTTTGTTGGACCTTGGCTCCTGCACGTACCCTCTCCCCTGAATGCTCGTGGGAAGGGTAAAAAAAGCTTCTTCCGCTTCCTCCCTTCCCTTCCCTTGCAATCTCTCTCTCTCTCTCTCTCTCTCTCTCTTCTCTCTTCTCTCTCTCTTAGGAGTACTAGGTAGTATAGGTATAGGAGTAGTAGGGCTTTTGCAACTGCACTGATGACATTACATCGAATCTGGGCCATCCAATGCACAAAACAACGGCTCAGATATTGCATTTAATGCCACCAATCATCCCCCCAACTCTCGGTGCACTGGTACAGGCCTACAGCTTGTGCCCTGCGCCGTTGGATCTTGTATACCGACGGCTCAGATCAAGCTTGTGAGGTGAGTCTGATTTTTCTTTTTTATTTTTCGGTTCAACTCTCGTATCCTTATCCTGTTCTAGGTTTCATTTCAATCTCTGGTCTTGTTTAGATTTCAACTTTTTTCTTCAAACTTTTAACTTTTCCGTCACATCGTTCCAATTTCTTCAAACTTTCAATTTTAGCGTGGAACTAAACACAGCTCCTGTAACAGTCTAGTTTTTTTTAATTAGAATTTGCTCTTGTGTGAAAAAGAAGTTACTTTTTATATAAACACATTACAAATTTAGACGCTTGCGCACATACATTCTCTGAAAAACTAAATGGGCATATATTGGTATTGACGAAGTCATCATGAGAACCTTAATGTTGACGGGTTTGTTGTGTACCACGTAAAGAATAATTAGCCATACCGTGTTAAGTAAGACTTGAGTGAGCTAGTTAACCTACGCCTTTTTGTGGCATGTGTAAAATATAGTATTTTACAATCTAACAGTCATAGGCAATTTTTAACAATTATAAGCGATTTTAAACTTATAAGTTTGCTTAGCTGAGGTCGCAACATGTTTTCCATGTGACGGGCTTGGTTGTGTGCTACTGAACTACTTGTTAACCCGATTGTTCAGAACTCTTAATATGATCACCGAGAAAAAAAATTGATGCTTGTATATGGATGCTTTTACTAACATGTTATGATCTAGCTGACATTGGAGTTCTTGTCAGATATTCTAGGAGCAGATTTTGGTGTCCTTGAAATACATTAATCTGTAGGATTTTTAACTACATGAAACCAGTTTCCTCCTTTTAAAAGCTAATGAGGTAAACACTTAATAATATCAACTGATAAATTATCAATCCTGCAGGTGCTGAAGCTAGCCCTCAAGTCTCAAAGGAAACAAGTGCTGAATTTGTTATACTTCTTGAGCTAATTATCAGTGCTGGCTAACTGAATTTCTGAATCAAAAACTCATCAACATGAATTTACATACATCATGCAGAGGCAGAGCCAGCAATGACAGGTAGAGTACATCAGTGCAGTTATATATATGGAGATGCCCAATTCAGAGCTAGGAGCCATCACTCATCAGTGCCACTTGGCTCTTAGCAGCACACTCACATGCATACAAGGAACCTGAATCTGTAGATGGCTGATGATCCCATCCGGGCCAAGCAGCCGCATCCCTATCCAGACTATATGGCCACAACGCCTCACAACACATGGACCATGCATCAAAATCTGGTACAGAATTAATAATACTGGTGCATCTATGGATGTTTTGTGGCTCCAAATCCTTCAAACGGCAAGTCGCTTTCTTTCTTTCTTTCTTCTTTCCCTGTTCTGTCTTTCTTCCTAGGCTTAACTATTTGGGCTCCATCTTCTTCTTGCCACTCTGAATTCAGCTTCAGGAGCATAGATAGCAATATAGCATCATGGAGCTTTCTCTGATCACCTTCACAGCAACTGGTGCAGCAGCAGCATTCACTTCACCCAAGATCAAGAGGAGGATGAGGATGGCACCAACCATGGCATCCAAACCTGGAGCCAAAGTGAAGGTCTTACTGAAGATCAGTACTAGCTTCTAATTACATTTGCTCCTAACTTTTCTTCAATTTTTGGGAAGCAGCTGGCACTACATGTTCTCTGAATCTGAATGAGCTGTATTGTGCACTGCAGGTCTCTGCCGGTTGCAAGACGTGCAGAGGAAAGGGAGCTGTAGAATGCCCAGGTTGCAAGGTAAGTATATATGATCTCTGCAAATTAAAGCAAACAAGTGAGCTAGGTATGAATGCCTTGATTCGATGACTGAAATGATCAACTGATGCAGGGCACTGGAAGGAACAAGAAGAATGGCAACATATTCGAGAGATGGAAGTAGGTTTATTTATACACCATTCATGACTCATGCTTCTGCTATATGTTTACTCTTACATTTCTTATGTCTTTATATCAACTAGCAAATGAAGTAGTATTAACCAACCATGTAGTATTTATGTTGTGTGATTATTATGTGTTCAGGTGCTTCGATTGCCAAGGGTTTGGGCTCAAGAGCTGTCCTAGCTGTGGCAAGGAAGGGCTCACACCGGAGCAGAGAGGTGAAAGATAGAACAAATTAATTGACAAGAACAATACAGACACCCTGCACTTGCATGCCAGTATCATTATGGTTAAGCTTGTTCTGATGTAATTATCTAGTGGTAATTTCTTAGCTATAGATTAGATGGAGTGCAAGCTTGTGTACTGTATGTGAACTGTTGCAAAAAGAACTTGTGTATTTGCACCCTGCTTGAGATCCAAACTCAGATAAATATATGTCAGGTCGAGCTGTGTACTTAAATCTGAATACAGGGTATACTTTGGAGTAAAAGTATATGGTATAGGGTAAAATTACATGTCTAATTTGAGTCTTTTGTCCAAAAATACATACGAAATCCATGTCTCTGAAAAATAAGTCACATTAGACATTTGTGCTGGGATTAACAGATTGCCTAAAATGGCATTGTCCTCCGGTTATTCGATTGTGCAGATAATTACTACTCTTTCTATTTTTCAATATATGATGCCGTTTACTTTTAGTTATATGTTTGATCATTTGTCTTATAAAGTACTCTATGTAAGTATCATATATTTATTATGATTTGTTTTGTCACTAAAGATATTTTAAAAATGACTTTCACATTTATACTAGATTTTTAATAAGACAAAGATCAAATCGTATGTCCAAAAGTTAACAACACCATATATTAGAAAACGGAGAGAATATCACTCCATTTTATTCATAGGAGTGCATTATTTATTTTGGAATGCCATAATGATTATCATGAGATGATGATAATGACATCTATTCAAAGAAGACATTTTACGTGGTCTAAATTCTGGAAAAGAGGGGACAATATACAGTTGAAGAAATCAGGTTCAATATTAAGTTTCAACTCCTTTTAGGACTGGAAAAAAAACGTGTACAATACATACATACAAAAAGTAAATATGAAAAAGCGACAAATAGACGGCACAGGTGAGCTTGTCTTGACTTTTTTACTGACAGATGACAAATGCATTTTTCAAAGTGCCTAAGAGAAAACTTTAAGAAAAGGAGAGATGCCTCGATCTTTTTTCTGTAGTAGTGGTAAGATTGATCGAATTGATTCACCCACCTTTTCAACTGCTGCTACTACTACTAGTATAATACCACTGTATAAGACGATGATAACGAGATGGAGATCAATTGGGACCCGTACAAGTTGAAACCAGCCAACCAAACACATTTGACACCTCAATGAGAAAAATAAAATTGGGTGGAAAGGCAAAAATGGATAAGACAAGTCCAACTCAAACCCAAACAAAAGCGATGGGGCACGCCTTCTACGTTTCCCCAGGGATGGGGCTAAAAAGAAATAAGAATAATACCACATGTTTAATTTATTCTACTTTAGATTGAGTTTAAACATGTACTCCCTCCATACTCATAAAGAAAGTCGTTTAGAACAATATTTAAGTCAAACCTTGGGAATATAAATTATGAATAACTCTCAAGTTGTTGAGTTTGAAAATATAAAAATTATATGAATAGATTTGTCTTGAAAAATACTTTCATAAAAGTATACATATATCACTTCTCAACAAATATTTTTATAGAAAAAAGAAGTCAAAGTTGTGTTTTGGAGACCGTGTCGCTGTCCTAAACGGCTTCCTTTACGAGTACGGAGGGAGTATCTAAGTTTGTACTGAGAGGATGTACATATGGTAAAAATAGATGAGATATAGCTAAAATGACCGTTTCCTAAACACCCTCCACATATTCTACCTCTGTGCCTGCCCCCACTACTTAAACTCCAAGTTCGATAATCTTGGAGTAAATTAAATTGTAGTACTTTTAAATAAAAAAGATGTTAGTTTAAAAATAAATGTCAAATAATTTAGAACGATGAGAGAATCTTGCATGAACACACATGTTTTATTGTTGTCCAAGATACATACCATACCAGTATGAAATATACATGTGCTTGAAAAAAAGATCAAATTAAATATTTGCGAAGGGATTAACAATGTGTTAAGATAATATTGTCCTCACTTCAGTTATTCCACCGTGCAGATTATATTGTTTAATTTTATTCATGAAAGATGCAACATTTATTCAGGGATGCCATAATAGGCATAGAGATGGATAATTGATTAGAAGTTGACAATGTCATCTATTCAAAGAAGACTTTTTGATAGTCTAAAATCTGAAAAGAAAAAGGAGAGGGTTCAACTACTTTACCACATAGGCAAAGTTAAAATATATAGGGGAAGAAATCAAGTATAAGAAGTGTCGACTTAGGAATATTTTCAATTTTGTGAAAGACATGAAGTTTTAAATGCTAGCATCGTAGTTTGTTAGGCTAGCCGACTTTACTTCGAGCCTCACTACCTCTTAGTAGATATCGATATGGTAGCCCCTTCTCCCATTTCCAGCTTATTTTTTTATTTTCATTTTTTTGCCCCATATGTGTGTATGGCATTTGGTCGCAGGGTACATCGGGGATGTAACAAACGAGGAGCAATTACCACTCAATCGATATCTTCTATAGTATATAGTTACAAACCTAAGTATCTAAAACTCAATATGTAAGCATATCAATTATTATTACATTCTAAAGAATGCCACATCAACTTATGAAACACCTAAAACTCAACATGTAAATAATTTATTACACTATAATAACATACATGCATTTTTTTATAGGAATGCAACCCCATGGACTCTACATTACACCTTATATTATATTTTTTATTTATTGTATTTAATTTCTACAATATTGTCCTGCAGCAATACGTAGAAAATAGAAAACCTAACAAACACTAGGTGTACAATATAAAGGAAAGAGTTATAATAGAAGCCATAGCCCACAGGAGAACTTGCCTCCTCTTTTTGACTGACACGTGACAAATGCATTTTTGCATGTAAAAGTGCCGAAAAAAAAAGAAAAAGAGAGATTCCTGAACTTTTTTTTTCGGTGGTAGAAATAAGGATTGATTGAGATTCACCTACCTTTTCTAGCGGTACTAGGCTACGTATAGTGACCTGAGATAACGAGATGGAGATCAAATGGGCGCCGTTGAAAACAACTCATCAACTAACCCACATCCAACATCCGAAATTCCGAATGAGAAAGAGAAAAAGAAAGCAAAAGATTAAAATAAAGTGGTAAAAAGCATGAAATTATATCAAGAACTACTATATAAGAAAGAAAGAATGTGAAAAAAGAGAGCATAGAACAGAAAATTAGGATCAGTTTTGAAGTAATTGCACACAATAAGAAAATGGACTAAACATCATGCTACGAGAGTCAGAATTGCACGGTGAAATTGCCTTGTCTTTTTTGACTGACAGGTGAGACAAGATGCATTTTACCATGCAAAAGTGCCCAAAAAGAATACACAAGAAAGTGCCTGAATTTTGTTGGGTAGGTAAAGTAGGATTGATTTTTTTTTAATTTTTTTTGAGAACTAGTAGGAGTGATTGATTCACCCACCTTTTCAACTGCTATAATAGCCTAGTACTGTACTGAAATGAGGATAAAATGGACCCGTACGTACAAATTGGAACAAACCAATCCCAAGGACATCATCTTCTCGTTTTTCTGTCTATACTTATCTTCATCAACTTAAAATTTAAATTTTTAATTTTAAGTTTTTTTATCAAAATTTATTTTGCATCATTTATTTAAAAGAATACGTATATAAAAATTATATTTATAATTTATTTTTTAAATATACCGTTTAGCTTATTCCGACCGCAAATCTGATATCTCCCCATGAGAACAGCAAAAAAAAAAAAAAAAAAAAAAAAAAAAAAAAAAAAGAGGAAGAGCAAAAGCAAAAAGAAAGAAACCAAATCCAAACCCAAACCCATCCATCACCGCATCTCATCGTCTCCGTCTCCGTCTCCGGCGATGGCCACCAAGCCCCGCCGCCGCTCCCCGTCGCTCTCCTCCTCCTCCTCAACATCCTACTCGCGCTCCCCCGCATCGCCCTCCTCCTCCCCGTCGCGCAGCCGCTCCCCTCCCCGCCCCGCGGGGGGGGCCCGCTCGCCTTCGCCGCCGCCGCCACCGCCTCCTCCCAGGTATGCGTAGCACCGATTGGTAGACTTGTTGAGCTTTCTTTCCGCATTGCGTACCCTGGCCTTACCTTAACTTTGTTGCTGCTGCTGCTGCAGGAAAGCGTCTCCGCCCCCTGAGTCCACCGTCCTCCATGTTGACCATCTCTCCAGGAACGTCAATGAGGATCATCTCAAGGAGATTTTTGGTCAGCTTCCTTCCTTCCTTCCTAAATCCTTCTCCCTCCACTGTTATTTCTCAGTGCTTTGTACACCGAGTATGTTGTTGCTGTTGTATGCAGGTTATCATCTTCTCAGTTTTTGGCTCAAAAACCTGAATCTTTACACATTTTTCCTTGGCAAGATCAACGCTCGCGTCTACGCTGGAGTTCATTTTACTCAACATTTTAAAGTAGATAAAATCATAACCAACTGATGTTCCAAGACCATGGCTGAGAGCCCTGGGATCCTGGGGCTATTAGTCTTCTAATTTTCACTTTTCACATAATAGGAACGGTTCCTGATGTAATAGAGCTGAATTGCACTCAACAACATTGCTGCTTCTTTAGCTCATACTTCTGCTGTTTTGCAGAAAATTATGGTGAAGTCGTCAATGTGGAGCTCTCCATGGATAGGGTGGTAAGTAAATGGGTTCAGTAATGCACAAGGCAGGGGGAAAACTTTCATCACTCTTGTCTCATCTTTATATACTCATCATTTACTTTGATTCAGGTCAATCTTCCCCGTGGGTATGGATATGTTGAGTTCAAGAATAGAGCTGATGCAGAGAAGGCTCTTCTTTACTTGGATGGTGTATGAATTCTTTCCTCTTTTTTTTTAGATAATGGAAGAGTACATGAATTCTTTCCTGCAACATTCATTTGGAATTTTAGTATGAACATAGCATTAAAACTTAAAATACTTACAAATCTTCACAGGGCCAAATTGATGGAAATGTTGTTAAAGTCAGATTCGCGCTTCCACCACAGCAGCAAAGAGCTGCTGCTTCTCCAAAAGCTCTTCACCCTTCACCAAAAAGGGATGTGGTTGATCATAATAAAGTTGGTCCTAGTGCTGAAAAGGCCACCAAACAGCAGCCCAGGAAACGTAAGATTTTGCTCCTTCTTATGTAACCTTCTTCAAGCTACTCTTTCTCTGGACCAGCATCAATTTTTTGTTATTTTTGCTAGTCACCTTGCCTTCAATTTTGTTTGCCACTTTGATTTTGAACCATAACCAGTCTTTGTATTTTTACTGGGTGGTAAAACATAGTGTTTGAACTTTGAAACCTCACTTGTTTCCTTTCAGCAGCATCTCCTCAAAGAAAGCCAGCTCCATCTCCAAGAAGGCGATCTCCTCCAAGTCGAAGAGTTGAATCACCTAGGTGTAGGCCTGATTCTCCTCCAATTCGCCGTCGAACAGCTCCTTCTCCAATCAGGCATGGTGGAACTCCTAGCAGGAGACCAGGATCCCCAATCAGAAGGCGCTCACCCTCTCCGCCCCCTCGAAGACTAAGATCACCAAGGCAGTGAGTAATGCGTCTGTGCGCTCTCTTTGTTATCAGCATTTTGTTTGGAAGTGCTGAAATATTTCATAATAACAACAGCCTATCACCAAGAAGAGATCGGGGCAGTCCAATCCGCAGGCGCTCCCCATTGCCTCGTAGAAGGCTGTAAGTATTTTAAGCTTGTCTAGTTGATGTTTTTTTCTTTAGTATTTCATATGTTATCTGAATTATGAATTTAGGAGAAGGTGGGGGGCATATGAGTTTTGTGTATATCTTTTTTAAGTTGCACAGCTATTTGCTCTTTATTCATTTCAGTCTGTAGTGGTCTAGCTTCTACTGTTCTGTTACGAAGAAGCTAAACCATGCTGGGTTTCTTGGATGGTTGCTCTACTTAGCTTTTTTTGAACATTTTAGAGTGGATAATCAGAGTGTTGAGCTGAAAATCTGATTAGTTTATTCTATGCTTCTGGGCCAAGATTTTGCTTTCTCTAGCTTCTAATAACTCTGAAAGAGGTGTTTGTTCTCCCCTGGAGGCTTCCCCCCCCCCCCTTTTCTTGCCTAGTAAACTAATTTTGGGATTTTGTTATTCCATTGACCATTAATTATTTCTGCAGGACTCCTCCAAGGAGGATGTGGAGTCCTCCCAGAAGACCACAGTCACTTCGCCATCGCAGTAGATCTCCCATTCACCGACCAATTCGCTCCCCTTCCAGATCGATTTCTCCACGCAGGTAATGTTAGGATTGATCGCCCTTTTACCCCGTTTTAGATTAGTGGCCTTGCATCTTCTACCAGATGAAAGCTTACATCAAATAATGGAACCAGGGGTCGGGGTCCTCCTGTGCGCCGTGGACGGTCATCCTCATCGTATTCTGATTCACCTACTCCTCCAAGAAGGGTAAACTCATAACTATAAATGTCATTATCTTTTTTGGAAGAAGAGAAAGAAATGTTTTTTTGTCTGTGTATTTATTCTTCTTGTACCAAGACAAACATTTTTCTCTTGTGCAGGGACCAAGAAGGGTGCTCAGAAGTCGCAGTCCTAGAAGGTAGTAATCCTTATGTGCCTTTCCCTTCTCAAGCAGCTTAAATGTGTGGCATCGTAAAAATAGAACATTGAAGCATCATATGGTTTCTTTTCAATGGTGGTAGGCCTTTAAGAGGAAGAAGTGCCTCTAGCTACAGCCGTAGTAGCAGCAGCTCAGGTTCCCCTATCCGCAATTAAAACTCTTGGCATGGCATGGCATGGAATGGAATGGTGTGGTGATCCTGGTAGGTAAATCTTTCCGTCTCGTCCCTTTTTATCGCTGATTTTGTGTCTTTTTGTCTTTGCTGCTGCTGTTTTTGTTGTCAAGCTTTGGTTCTTCGTGTGAGTTTGGGGCTTTGCGCGATGGTGCATGCGTTCCCTACGATCAAGCTGGCACTGGAACATTTAGATATTGCTGGAAGTTAAACATTTTCAAGCTTCTTGGAGGCTCTGTCTGAACTCTGGATTTCTCCTCTTGGAGGGAGCGATGACTTATGCATGTCAATGCTGCAGTAAATAAAGTGGAGTACATTAGTATTCTGTAGTAGCCTATTAAAGCACAGATTTCTGTGGGTTGGGAATCCAGGAGCACCAACATTTACTGGTGAAATTGAATTCACCACTCACTTGTCGAACCTGAAGGCAAGATTGACTTGACAATTTCTCTTTGTAATGGTTATGTTTTGTTATCTACGTGGAGTTATTTTGGACATCTGAACCTTTAGATTCCAGTGGAGATGATATCATCTCCAAAAAGATCTTGTCATGGAGTTGACTATCAATGTTTTGGCGGACAGGAAAAAAATGAAATTAAATTTGGATAGCACTGAGGGCCGGAGAATTGGTTCCTGTTTCTCATGATTGCGTTACATTAAGATCACCTTTTCGTAACCGCTGTGAATACTCATGAGACGACCAAAATATTTTTTTTTTTGACAACGGATGAACAGGTTATAATATTACTTCAAAAGCAGACACAAAACTTCTTATGGCCTCTGCGTTGTAAAAACTCTCTTCTTCTAATCAAAATGAGAGCTGCACGTTCCCCCCCCCCCCCCCCCCAATCGTTTTATCTCTGCTATCAGCTCGTTCATGCAAAATACCACAAAGCACCCAGCTGCTGATTGAAAGGCGTGAGCACTACCAAACATTGAATTCTCAACTGTTTTGTCTCATCATGGGCAATTGCAAATCATACCACAAAACGATGATAACACAACTTATGATTGAATACATAGATCGAGCATAAAAAACTGAACGAGAATAAGTCGCATACAAAGACTATTTATGACCAAACCACACAATCACGGCCATCTGATTCTACTACTCTCAAGAACAGCACTTCTCTAATCTACTTCCAGGGTTCAGAATGCACGCAGATTAGTAAAGGTATCAGCCACCACGTCTACTGTCTAGTTAGTGCATATATTGCAGCAGGATGTTAGTAAAGGACAAAAGAGAATCGTTTGGTTAATCTTCATATTCTGTTTCCTCATCATCGGCATTCTGGTTACCATATCTCCAGCCATCTTCAATGTTGTTGCCCTGGTCTTCTTCTGTCTCTTCACTGTCATCTTCATACTTACCTGGCCACTGATTCTTCACTCCACTGATATCAGCAGGCAACACGCTAGAAATCTTGACATTGTAGGCTTTATTAGATGAGGGGGTCTTATGCCCTGAATTTGTCTTGCTCCTTTTTGGATTCGGTGCAAGGTCGACAATCTCAGCATAGTTATACTGATTGGCACGATCATTTACAGCATGCTCACTTGCATGTGCAGCAATCCTACCATTCTCTTCTTGACCATGTTCAGGATGCTGAGTTTTTAGATGAAGGTTCAATTTGTAACTGTGAATGTAGGCTTTCCCACAACCATCATATGGGCAGACATATGGTCGCTCAGCAAAGCTTGTGGGTGCTGGTGTTGTAGGCTTAGTTGATGCAGGTGTTGTCGTCTTCGTTGCTGCTGGTGTTGTAGGCTTAGTTGTTGCTGGTGTCGCAGGCTTACTGCTGCTTTGTGGTTTATCTGATGATGGCACATATTGTGCTGTGATCGGAGTTCCAGTCTGCATCATGGCCACATTGAGCGCATTATGTAAATCAGAGGGAGTACATAAAAATTCTACAAACCATTGTAAATTTTGTGATGCAACACAATAGGTGATTTGAAAAAGATTTTCTAGTTGCATTTTATTATAATATATCAGTATGGCATTAACCCGAGACTACATTTTGCTGCTGCAACTGTATTTTATTATAATATATCAGAACAACAATGAGCATGCATTCTGAACAAGTACACTGGGGGAGCAGGCAGTTTCGTGTTGTAATACTTTTCTTTGAAAAATAGCTATGAGAATCTTTACCAGTTTCAATTTAATTATTTCTGATATGGCTTCTATAATGAGATTTCAAGCTAGTCGTTACATATAAAAACAATTGAAAAAACAGCAAATGGAAGTCAGTGCACCATAGAGCATACCTTTTCATGGCCCTTGACATGGGATTTTAATTTGGAGTCACTCGTAAATCTTTTGCCACATGCTGGAAATGGGCATACATGATAGTTTTCCAACGCATGCGTTTTTAGATGCGAACGCAGGTTAAAATCCAATGAGAAGGCCTGAAATTCACAGGATTTCTTTGTAAGAACATGAAGATGCACTGCAACATGGTCAAAGGATTCACTAATTAAAAGGCCTGAGAATTTATGCTACATTTCTTCTCAAATCAGCCACTTGTGGGTGTGCATATGTTGTCTCCAAATTTTGCAATAATGTAGACAGCATGTCAGTGTACAAACAAACAACAGACCGGAAGGACTAGGGTAAATTTCCATAAAGCAGCTCAAGTGTTCAACTAATCAGATCAGGGGAAAGTATTCAATCAGGTAGAGTTAACATGAAATCACATACAGGTTTGCACCTTTAACACAACATATGCTAAGGTTAGCTTTGATTACTATGGAAAAAAAAAGTAAAAGAACAAGTAGTATGTGGAGAAGTAAAGGCAAAAGTGCAGTCATTCGGTAGAGATTCTTTGAGTAGAGGGATAAGGTAATCACCTTACCACAGCCTGGATGGGGACAGATAAAATCCTTCTGTCCTGTATGAATAAGGTGGTGTCTCTTCAACTTGGAGCTATCTACGAATTTCTGCAAGAAATAAAGGAATAGGATTCATCACATGTATAACGAAAAGGAATAAGTAATTTAAGACAAACATTCTTCCTTAGAAGTTGAGCACACATATAACAGCTGTCTGCCAGTTTTACAGGTTGTTGGTATAGGTCATAACACAAGGACTATGGGTAACTTGGCCATTTGCTGCATTGTAATCATGGAGCTTATTCTATGAGAAGAAATAAACAGCATAGGGAAAATAATCAGGTGAGCAAGGTAAAGGGCTGGTGGAAAAGATGGAAAGATGCTTACAAGTAACACAGCAGGATCGGCACTAGATCAAACACATGGTTTGCACTGGCTGTTATGCAGGAAGTAAGTATAGGAAATAATACAAGGACTCAGACCTACAGGTATGGCTTACTGGCAATTTGCTGGATTGTAACTATGGAGCTTATTCTATGAAAAAAAAAAGAGAGAACAAAATAAGGAAAATAATCAGGGTAAAGGGCTGGTGGAAAGGAGGCAGACATATTGGTTAGAAACATTTCGGTGATGTAGCGGGCACTAGAGAATAGATAATCACATACTACATGATACATGGAAGAAGGGGCAAAATGTGGAGATACTACCTTCCCACAGCCAGGCTCCTGACAAATATACTGCCTCTCGTTGTGCACATGAGCGTGCTTCCTTAAGGCGGCGACATCGACAAAGGTTTTGCCACAGTTTTCATAGCTGCAGAGGAAGAGGATCTCCGTGGTGGGTTCAGGCTTCACCGCCTCCGGCTCCGGCACGGCCTTGCCGTCCTTGAGATTCTTGTACACATCCTCTGCACGCACGCACAAGGAAAGAAAGAAATCGATTGAAACAAGACAAGCACAAGTAATGTAATGCTGCAATGTGGTAAAGAAAATTTGGGGGAAAATTAAAGGAAGAGAAGAGAAGATTACCCCTGACCCACTTGTAGAGGGCGCATTTGCCGGAGGAGGTGGCGAGATCCTGCGGGATCCTGCAATGCAAAACCAACCACATGATATGATGAGTAGAAGAACATCAATCATCGAGAAGAAAGGCGTAGCGTGGATACCATACCAGTGCTTGACCCAGCGGGCGGCGGGCCGCGGGGGACGGCGAGGCTTGTGCTGCTGCGACGGCGGGTAGTAGTAGTAGCCCCCTGCCCCTGCCCCTGCCGGCGCCGCGTACTCCATCGAGATGACGAGTGAATGCCGCCGATCCGATCCGCCGCCGGCGAACCCTTCTCCTCCTTTCTCTCTCTAGGCGGCCTAGGGTTTTTCTTTTCTTTTCTTTTCTTTTTTTGTTCAGCGGTGGGCGTGCCGGAAAAGAGAGAGAGAGGGGAGGTAAATGCTCTTGATTTTTGTTTGGGCCGAAACAACAACATTCCTTTTCTTCTAGCCCCTTCTTCCTTCTCTGTGATGATAATGGTGTTGTATTTCTTTTTCTTTTCTTTTTTACGATTACAATGCATACATATATGCGCGCGCATACTATACTATATACTATATATAGATAACACCACACTCACATTCTCACGAATATGCTTCCTAATACATTCTCTAAGAGCCTGTTTAGGTCAATTTGCTGTGGTATTTTTTTTTTTGCAAAAGATTTGATATTGAAGTTTTGCTAGTTGGTGTTTAGATGCATGGTAAAGTGTTGGCATTTTACTAGTAAAGAGAGAAAGAGAGAGCACGGCTCTAAACGTACTTTTTGGCAAAATTTGCTACTATAGACTTCTAAATGATAAATGCCAAATTGCTAACTTTTGCTACAGTGTTTAGATCCATTTTTGCAAAAAAGTGCTCCAAAACAGCAAATTTTTTGCTATTTTAGAGGAACTAAACATGGCCTAAGTAATATTTGTGGACATCAGGATTTAAATCGTGGTGGGTGAAATCATGCATTCATGACTACGCCACCATATTACGGGTGCTTTCCACAGTTCATGATATTTTATTGACTGAACCATCCAAAAATTATAACCAAAATCAATAAAAGTGGTTTTGTTGTTCTACTGATCATTTCCTTGTTTTTTCGTAATTTCACAAAAAAAAAACTTTATAGTACTATAATTACCATATTTGTATGTATCTTGGTTTGACCCATAGCATAGAGGGCCCCATTGACTCTCCTACCACACCTTTTCTTTTGGGTGCCTAGGGAAGTTGCCTAGTTGCACATGTAATTTTATACTCCCTCCATCTCTAAATGTTTGACGCCGTTGACTTTTTTTAAATATCTTTGACCATTCATCTCATCCAAAAACTTTTATGAAATATGTAAAACTATATGTATATATAAAAGTATATTTAACAATCAATCAAATAATAGAAAATTAATTAATAATTACTTAAATTTTTGAATAAGACGAACGGTCAAACATGTTTAAAAAAGTCAACGGCGTCAAACATTTAGGGATGGAGGGAGTAGCTTATAGTTTCCATCATGAATTATCATTTTATTGTCAATAATGTTCGAATAATTCCATTTCAATTTTCTTATATCATTTTCAGTTTTCACTTTAACCTTTTTGATAGGTTTCCAAGAAAATCACTATTCTACTCTGCTCCCCTACATATATATTCATATGCACGCAAACAAGAGTTTTAATCAAACAGAATTATGAAAGTTTCTAATTCGGCTAAATTCATTGACATGGTCACATGGCAACTCAAAACTCCGTCCCTGACCATGGCAACTCAAAACTCCGTCCCTCGAAACATCGTAAACAGATACTCATAAAGGAAGTTGTTTAGGACAATGTTTGACTCAAACCTTAGGAATATAAATCATAAATAATCCTCAAGTTGTTGAGTTTTAAAATATAAAAATTATATGAATAGATTTGTCTTGAAAAACACTTTCATAAAAATATACATATATCACTTTTCAATAAACATTTTTATAGAAACAAGAAGTTAAAGTTGTGTTTTGGAAACCGTGTCGCTGTCCTAAATGACTTCCTTTATGAGTATGGAGGGAGGACTACAACATAATTTAGCACTTCAAACACACAACTGAAAGAAGAATCAAAAGATCAGAACAGACTTAAAACTAAGTCTAGCTTGTTTGTTTGCTTATTTATTTATTCATTCATTATTAATCACATCTCGGACGGCCTGGTACCGATTATTACTTCAAAAATTCAAATAATAAATACAACAACCCACAATAGCTTGAATACAGACAATGAGTATAAACACAGACAAGACCAAGCAGTCTATAAGAAGAAATTAACACTTGGAATAGAATACAATGGTGAACCGTGTCTTGTTCTTCCAAAACCCTCTAATCCGCTCGAGATTGGCCCGCACGAGACGAGAGGATGATACCAACAATCAGGCCATACAGAGCAAGAGCTTCTGCAAAGATAAGGATGAGGATCATGCCCACGAACAACTTTGGCTGCTGCGCATTGGCCCTGCAGAGGAGGTAAACCAGAACCAAATGTCAATTTCCTGCAAACAAGAGTGCTTTACTTACAATAGTAACAGATAGAAAGAAACTCTATCTGCTATTTTGCTCTTGATCCCAGTTTGATTTGAATAGATCTCAATAGTCTGTACTCAGGACTACAACATAGATATGCTGATGTAAAAAGGGGCAATGTGAATCCTCCTTGACTTTATAACAGTTAAATGGTAGCGATGGTATATATGAATCAAAGCAGTATGGGTGTTGCACCGTAAATCATAGAAGATAGGAGTTGTAACTCTTGTAATCATTATCCACAAAATTCAAGGGGCAGTAAAGTTTCTAAAAGAAGCTAACTTTCACTTGTAGGCAAATAGGCAATCGAAAAGGGTTATCAGGATCCTACGACACACAACCCATGTTCCGGAGTGCCCCCAAGACAGATGCCTAGCACATATACTCCTGTGGAGAATATCCAGCCTAATATTTCAATAGCTACAACCGAACTGATACCATAGGAAGAACCATGAATGACGAACCACCCATACCCAGTCTGAAATCACATCTAAAAGACATTCTACAATTCGGTGTGAATGTAGCACTAGCATGCCAAGATATGTAATGGCAACAATGCTGTCGCTTGCCCAATCCCTGTAATTACCCTTGTAATGTGACCTCTTATCAATGGAAAATTCAGGTGGGGGAACCTCTCCCCTCTGGTGATTATCCAAAAAAAAAAAAAAAAACACTAGCATGCCCATTGTCTGTCATGCATGCTAGGATGCCCAATTGAGGAAGTTATAAGCCAACGTACAGGTTGAGGCACAACATTGTAGTGTAAATTTGAAGTTTCAGCAGATAAAAAAAGAGAGGAATTCTTGTTCTGATCAAAGACTCCACCAGCATCTAGCAATCAACAAAGAATGTAGTCGCATGCTATTACTCTAATAGTTCAGTCATCAGGATTCGGATTAGTAAAATGTGGGCAGGCTAACAGCAATTGAAAGCTTAATAATAATAACTACTCCCTTGTTGTAATTAGTAGTAGTAGATGGGACTGAGGAGGGGAATGAGAGGGAGGGTACCTGACTCCGGCGTCGCCGACGATGCCGATGGCCATGCCGGCGGCGAGACCGGCGAGGCCGCAGGCGAGACCGGAGGAGAGGTGGGCGTAACCGTCGAAGAGGAAGTAGGGCTTGGCCTTGGGGTTGATGCCGGTGGAGATGATGACGGCGATGATGAGGCCGTAGATACCGAGCACTCCGGCCATGACGACGGGGACGATGGACTTCATCACCAGTTCCGGGCGCATCACCCCCATGGACGCCACGCCCACGCCGCTCTTGGCGGTGCCGTAGGCGGCGCCCATGCCTTGCATGCGTCGTGTGTCAACCTCATCTCAGATCAGATCTGGCCCCGAGAAAGTGAAGGGGAAGATTGGGAGCTTACAGGAGAATACGAGGGCGGAGGCGGCGCCGAGGAAGCCGAAGAAAGGGGCGGTCTCATCGCCGCTGAAGGTGGAGGAGGACATGGTGGTCGCTCGCCGTCGTCGGTGAGGGTGGGATCTCTCTCGCCGGCCGCCGGAGGCCGGAGGAGTCAGAGATTGGTATTGGTGCCGTATCTCGTTGCCTCGTCAACGTGTGTGGACCTCACTTCATTTATATTTACTTGCTCTCTTCATATTACAATCACTTTAATTTTTTTTATAATCAAACATTTTTAAGTTTAATTAAGTTTATAAAAAAATATAATAATATTTTCAACACAGAATAAACGTATTATATATTTGTCTAACTCTAAAACTTTTTGGGCCTGTTTTGATCTGGCAACACAGCCCAAAGAGATTCCACGTCTTGAAATTCCTATACATTAGCAAATGTGAAGCCAACACCATTGACAAATTCCAGCACATACAAAAGCATTGAATATGAAAGTATATGCTACCATCTCTATTCCTACAACAAAACAACTAACCATCACCACGAAAAAGTTAGCGACTCAAGCCTTAAAGCGTGTCACTGGCTTGATCATCGACAACCCGACATACAAATCTTACTAGTTTTTCACCGAGAACCTCAATAAGGTAACTAGAATAAATAAATAGAAGAAACAAAAGACTACACATCTGATCCATGAAAAATTTGAAAGACAAACCCTAGACAACCTAATAGACCTAATTCTATAGGAACTTAAATAAAGATAAAAAAAACTTGGGAAAGATTGGATCCTACTACTGGAGACGGAGGGTGAAGGTGATCGGATAGAAACTGTGCGATGGAGGTTTAGAGCGCCCTGACGGACACGAGCGCCTGTGAGCCGGTTACTATATGCTAATACCTCATTGATCTTTTGGTAAAAACATAGCATGGAGTATATTTGTAAGAGAAAAGTTTGAATCTTAGGACATTAATTTCACTATAAACATTTCTATTAAATTCATGACAATTATATGCATAGAACTTTCCTAAAAAAAGTTTCATAATATTATAATTTTATCAGAATTTCTACAGAGAAAAAATAGTTATTAAAACAACCTTTGAGACGGATTAAACTTATATTTCAAAAACATTGTAAATATCTGAAACAATTTCTCTTAACCGGAAACAAGTAAATGAATTAAGAGTCGTGAGGTTTCGTGGGCTCATGGGCCATCATCATGATAGCACAGCCAATTTTCACACCAAGCATCTCAATTCCCAATTTCGCAAAGTACACTGTGTCGAAATTGGTTGAACAGAAGCACACAGCAAACAGCCCGACATAGCTCTTATTACTGTTCATTGACAAGATAAGCCCGATGAGCCCGGCAGATACTAGATCAACTAGGTGAAGTGTACAAAGAAAAAGGTTTTACGATATTGAAAGTGTAATATATAGGCCAATTATATGCATTAATTACAATGGGGTCAATTCAGTGAGAGAGCCAACAGACAAGCTTTCATTTCAGTTGACCCAAATTAACTTTCTGCAAACAACCTAAATAAGAATTACTATGAGATTTTACATTGTTGTCCATATGATTCACAGAATAGTCCCAACAGTAAATTCAGGCAAATTCGCTGGCCATTTTTGAATTCAGGGTTAACGCTGCCATCTTTGAAATTCAGGCTAAAAAATAATGAGAACTCGGGGAAATCAGGAAAGAAAATGTAGAAAGTATTCTGCAGCAACATTAATGTTTTCGTCCACTGCTCTTCATCGTGGAGTGCCCATGCAATTAATTTGTTGCTGCCCAATTTGCATCCAAACGCCACCGTACAACTGTCAATTTGATCGTGGTGCTACACTATACCACTAGTAGTATCAATTTGCATGAAAATTATCCATATCGTACTATAGTGCGCCTGCCTTTGGATTGGAGGAGACAACATATGCAGCCAATAAGCAATTTGTGGGAAAAGAGGCACCCCACTACCCATGCATTCAACCATAGTATATATGCATTCACTTGCCAAATTGCTAGCTAGGACTACGCGCCCTTTGAATTTGCATAGCTTACATTAATTATATTATCTACCAAATAATGTAGGATCATCAAAGGCTACCTAGCTAGTAGAGAACAACAAGATGCACAAGCATAAATGGACAATTTTGGATAGTTTTTTTAGAACAGACTATTTTGGATAGATGGATATGCATAAGCATATAATTGATAAGAAGATATGTAAATAATTAAGCCTTTTAGATTGCTATTGATTATCAATTGACTCCTTAAATTGCTATTTAATGACATGACAACATACTACTACTCAGACTGACACAATCGTCGTGGACATCGAGATCACTTAGGACTGACGCACACCGCTCATTTCGAGCACATTGCAGTGAGAATCCAAGTTTCCACTTAACCGACACAGCACACCATATGTACTAGTTTTAATAAAACTGTCACCTTTGGTCCCCTATACGTGCCGGATTTGAAACAGACACCAAACCAACACATATGAAGGTTCGAACCTGGTACCAATGAGAATGGTTGTGCTAGTGACCTTTTATTAAAAACTTTTTTAGATATGAATCTATTATATTAATTTTTAGCTTAATTATTAGTGAAAAAATATAAATATTTGATTTTTCTTTCAAACACACGCACATCTTATACACGGTGTGAACAGTTGGAACATGTAGGACATATATTGGATATTGACCACATGTCCGAAAAGTCCTATAGAACAACACATCTGGTCCTTTCCAAGAAAAGATGAAGATAAGATCGAGAAGGACATGCTATATATATGTAGTACATGACTAAAGTTAAAGACCACATAGCTCTAGGTCGACGATCAAGATCCTCGATCGACTCCTTCTAAGCACAACAGTATATACTATACTGACCACTGTTAATGCATATGTCTGCTTTATTTGCACTGATCTGATCGATCTAGCTAGATGCACATGCATCGCTTTTGCGTGATCATGATTAATCACTGTGTTGACTATAGTTGCCAACCACCTTAATCTTGAGAAACTCCTAACTAAAATAGGTTCAAAGATTAAAACTAACAAATGAAGCCGATTTAACTAAATATATTAGGGGTAAACATCCATCTTATAAACGGAACGAAAGGTTTTGAGACAAACCTACGAAGTGATTCACACTCTCATATCAAGGACGAACGGCTTACGGTGTAAACCAACAAAGATGGACGACCTAGCGTAAAAATTAAAAATATAGAAATATGAAAAAAAAAGTAGATGTGGAATTGAAAGAACGATCTAATTGGCTAATTGTATTGTTGCAATTGGCTGTTAATTTTATTCAACTGAACCGTCATAGCCCTTATAAAGAGGCTAGTTTTATTTCAAGGATGGTCTTCATGTTCTATTAGGCTTATAGATTGACTAAAAAAATATCCGTGTGTTGCAACAGGTGAACACTATTTTAATCTTATTATTATTGTACGGTTTAGTTAGGAAGAAATTCATTGTGGGAATTTGCTTGTATATTTTTTTTAAAAAAATCATAAGCTGCAAATAGTAGTCCAATTTTCAACTCAAGTTAGCATGCGAGTTTTTTTAAGAGATTTCTTATACGGCACCTTTTGCATTTCCAAAAGCAAATAAACTTAAAATCCGACTCAAACACATATATGTATTTCCAAGCGAAAGAACTTAAAAACCGACTTAAATACGGATGACGTATTAAAATACCGGTAAAAATATCTTTAATATTTATAGTAGTAAAGATAGAGACAAAGATTATGACTCAAGAAACCTTGTGCCCAAGTAAAAAAAAACAGAGAATCACTGTAATTAGACTCGATCTCATATAGGGCTCTCCTATTAGACCAGCCTTAAATCACCGGTCGGATAAACCATGTGCAAAATGCTCATATCCTTTTCAAACTTGGCCAAACCTTACTATATCTCATCTAGGGTTAAATTTGGACCCTAAATTTAAATTTGGGAGTCAACAATACCCAAAGCTTAAAGTAGCTATAGATCGATGGATGCAGACAAATTGCTGTAAGTTCGTTCTTGGTCTGCCTGTCTCCATCCTCCATGGAAGATGGATCGATCCAATAATGCTTGAATATACTATATTGCTGCATCTTTCCGGCCAGCCATGTAGACGTACATCGATCTTTATCGTAAAGTTAAAATAGCAGTAGCTTTACGGCTCCGATCCCACATCTTTAATTTTCTTCCTCTCGACCATATTGATCTATGCCGGTACCTATCTAGCTAGCTCGATGCTATATATATAGGTATTCGCCTCCGTCATAAATATTTTACATTATTTTGAAAAATAACCTTTTAAATCTTTGAACATCAATAACTTTTCAAAAATGATACTCTTAGATTTGCTTTGAAAATTCTCATCATAATTCATATACTTATTAGATTTTCTAATCTTATAGGAGTATTACTTTAAAATTGGTGGTCAAAACCTTAGATTTTTTTTTCAAAACTTGTCATATAAACATCAAATATTTAGGGAAATTTTGCTACAAAACATTTAAAGTTTATATAATTTGCCGGTAGACATTGTAAAAACACACCACAACAAGGCCATCTAAATATTAGTAATTTACTAGAAGATATTTCTGGATTAATTTGGAAAGAGAAAATTTTCAAATAGACGAAAATGTCTCTAAAACCACACGCTTCTAACACAGTGTTAGAGTAAAAGTTTTTAAAAAATACACGCTCTAAATTCATCGTCAATCAAAGCACATTTCTAGTGTGCCTATATTATATTCCATCTTCAATCCAGTGCACATCCTTTTAAGAATTTTTCTTTTTAATTAGGCTGGAAATGTCCATTTGCAAATTAATTACTAGTTTTTAAGTGTCCTCCAACCATTACACATTTTTATAATGTGCATAAGTAAATTACACAAATTTTAAATGTTCTATAATAATTATAGTATGTGAAATATTAATTTGTGACCACTAATTAAGCTGTGTAGCTAGCTAGCCACCTTAATTATATATGCATGAGATGTGGCCGAGAATTAGGGCGCCGTACGAGATGTGAGTGTACAGATAGGCTGTGTTTAGATCCAAAGTTTGGATCCAAACTTCAGTTCTTTTTCATCACGTCAACCTGTCATACACACAACTTTTCAGTCACATCATCTTCAATTTCAACAAAAATCTAAACTTTACACTGAACTAAGCATAGGCATAGTGGCATGCATAT